TGGCGCTGCCCCGCACCCGCCGCACGATGCCGAGGTAGCAGTGGAGCAGCAGGGCGGTCTGGCCCAGCACGGCCAGGGCGAGGAGCAGGGCGGTGTAGCGAGAGGTGCCGGCCGTCTGCCGCGGGGGCGGCTGCTGGGCAGAGCCCGGCGTCCAGAGCCCGGGCAGCAGCGGGACCAGGAGCAGGGCGAGGGCCCAGGAGAGCCCGATCATGCAGCCCGTGTGCCTCCGCTGGTAGAGGGCCTGGTAGACGCTGGGCAGCTTGGTGATGAGCACGTACCTGTTGAAGGCCACCAGCAGGTGAGAGACCAGGGAGACGGTGAGGCCGAGGCCGAGGAGCCCGCCTCGGAGCAGCCGGTACTCCGCCGAGCGAAGGGAGGAGGAGTTGGGAGGCAGCAGCCCCAGCACAGCCTCCTGGGGCATCCACAGGGCGCACACGCTTAGGTCTGCCGCACAGCCGTTCACGATGAAGGCATTGCTGGTTGTCTGCAGCTTCTTGAAGGAGAAGACTAAGTAGATGACCATCACATTGGATAAAGTCCCTGAGATAGCTAAGACTGCGTAGAGCAGCGACAGGAAGATGCGGGTGCCGGAGGAGTCCTCCCAGAGCAGCAGCAGAGGCGAGCTAGCACTCCAGGAAGAGGCGTTGGGCATCTCGCTGAATGCAGCTCAGTTTTGACTTCTCCCTGTAAATCCCATCCTTGTCTGGGTCAGAAGATCCTGCTGCAGGAGTCTCCCACCAAGCACAAGGGAGGGTGTGCAGCCGAGGGGACTCTAAGGCAGGTTTCAGTCATACAAGCTGCAAGGTCCAGAAAATGCAGTTCGCAGTACCAATCCAGAGAACAGCAATGTCCAAGGCAGGTAGGTAGCAAGAGATCCCACGGATTGTAGCTAGCGAAGGTGGGTCCATAGGGAGCAGATAGCTGTTAGCAGAGCAGAGCACGACGGAGGATTCTGTAGCCGTGAAAATGCCCAAAGCAGCAGCACCTTGCAATCAGCAGCAGACACGGCAGCAACTGATACAAAGCTTTGCAGTTTCTCCTGTGCCACAGTACGTACACTGTATATCATTCCAGGAAGATTCAGCCCTTCCACTCTTCATGAATTATTCAGCAGATTTTCAACTTGTTAAATCAAGAAGCAAAAAAAAAAAAAAAAAAACCCAAACCCTATCATGCTCCAGAAATACTGCAACTACAGTCTGACTCTTCGCTTTGCCTTACCAGTTTCCTGCTTCTAACTCATTTACACAACTTTCATTTGCTGCAAGCTTTCAAACCAGTATCAGTCACTTCTGTCTGAAATACAGTCCATTTACTGTAGAAACTCCTCTGCTAGAGACTCAGTTAAACTGTTTTTTTTCTGATTTTATTTTTGTTAAGAGCAAGCTTGCAGAAGCATAGTGCGCTTTAAGTTAATTTTAGAACTGGTCTATAATAACAAAACTTTCCAAATTAAATCTTTCAAACACGATTGATACACAGATCCCTGGTAAGACAGTACTTCTTATTTGAGGAAGCTGATCCTCAGTCTACATATTCTACATTTCTTCATGAAAGTCAGCCTGCAGGAAATCCTGCATCACCAACCTGCCGGAGGTGAATGCTAGTGTCAGTAAGTACACAGATAAAACAGAATGAGTGTAGTGTTTGAAATGGTCTTGCACCAAAATTAATTCAGGGCACAAGTTTCCGCAGAGGTGAATGACAGGTTCTTAGGCGGACTAAAAACTGGTTGAAGAGTAGGGCTTAATGGTCCCTTACCAAACGGAGAAGAGTTAGTAGTGGGATTCTCTGAGGAACGCTACAGTGCTTTATTCAAACAGGAACAAAACGTTAACTCTCCTTACCCTGGAAAAGATTTAATAAGGGACTGAGTAAAAAACCTTAACGTTTCCTCTCAAAAGCTTTCCGGAAAAGGAATGCTGATTAATTTTTTGGTGAGTTTAGGCAAAAAGCTGCTTTTAAAGGTTAGTTATATATGGGCTATAGAAGTAAGCAATCTCAGCTCATGAGGTATGGCCTGTATATTGATCAAAGATATCTTTATAAGGTGTTTTTAGATATTGTTAAGCTCACAATGCTAACAAATGACAATACCAAAATAATATATTAGGATGTAATGATAGTTACAATATAAATTAAGATAATGGAATGAATTTGTGACGGTCAATGGGTTATTTTGTTGCAACATAGCACGTCTTTTATTTGACAGAATGGCTCATGTTTGCAAATGACAGGACTATTGATCCAAATGTGGATTTGTTACAAATATGATTATCTATGTTCTTTTTTAATTAATTAGATTGCTCATGTGCTTAAGGTTAAAGACATTCCTGAGTGATTTACTTGATCAGGCCCTTAATTACCATATTTTTTGCCTGCTGCACTTTACAGTGTCGATCTAATCAAGTGTCAAACCTTTTGAGGCCTTTCATTGTTTAGCTGTCAGTAGAGAACAGTTATTATAGAAACTAAAATCCTCCTCTTTCTGCAGTACTGTAATTGAAAAATATTCTCTAAATCTGTAACAAGAAATATCTCCCTCGCCAAAAAGCTTCATAAAACATACCTTAAAGAGATGATTAACAGTTTCATAAGGCATTACCCACAGAATAGGCCCAGTAGAGACCTCTAGATTTATTTAATCCATCCTTAGATGTTTATCAAACACCTTTTTAAAGATCTCACGTGCTACAGCTTGTTCTCCCAAAGCAAGGAGATATATTTATATATGAAGCAACAGAAATGGTAAAGTCCAAGGATAAATGAACAGAGGATATCAAACAAATTTCAGGGTATTTCTTAAAAGCTACAAGACCTCCCTGATCTTGCACTGTCCCCAGATTTGTTGTTGTTAAGAAGCTGACTGTTAAAGAATACTGGCTATATTTATCATTCATTTTTAAGAACAAAACCCAAGTTGTACATTAGCTAGCGTTTACTGTATTTCATATAATAAATCAATCAAAGTTAAGTCTAGAAAAAGGCTAAGGGAGAGGTTGATGCCTACATACTAGAAACTTTTTAATTAGCTGTTCTTCCTTTGTATTTACTTTGCACATCCAAATCAACATCCCTTAATTGTCTGAATGCAGTGGCAGAAGTCCTTTATTGTGTTTTTAGATTAGACTCACTGGAATTTGGGCAACTTCTTAAGCATCCACTCTATTTCTGGCTTTGCCATTCCTTTAGAGTGGCTGTGTAACAGTTACATACTGTCCACATTGTCTATTGCGGTACAGACTTATCTGACAGGAATATTAAGCACTGTGGATAAATAATCATGCAACAAAACAAATTTGCTGAAAATCTGCAGCTCAGTTAAACAATGTTAGAACCATTTGTGACTTTTTTTTTAATTGAAGGAAGGCTAAAAAGCTAAATGAAAGCATGATCTCTTAGGGACAAAGACCCTGCTGTTAGTGAGATTAAGAAACCTGCTGCATATACAAAAAAGCACAAGAAGGTTAGCTGGGAGATCCGTTATAAGATACCTGTCGTACTAATGTCTTTTTGCAACGTCATTTACAAACACATTACATGTTTTAGAAGAAAGGAGGTGATTTTGAGGAGGTACTCTTCAGTTAGAGATCTAATCTTGCTAGTTTACATAAAAAGATCTAAGTAAGAAAAGCCAAGAAACAAGGGAGCTGGCTGATATAGGCATTTTATTATCAATTAGTTGTATGTATATATATCTACATTTCAAAATTAAACAATATTTTATTAAGGAAAACTATTTATAGCAACATACATGACAAAATTCTTTATAAGAGGTAGAATTACCATACCATTAATCTATAATTCATATACAGTATATTGTATATATATGCACACACATATGCTACTTTATGTGTGTATATGTTACATATACACAGTTGTGAAAAAAGTACAGTATTGCATGTAAATTTTATTCAGTGATTTATATAGCTGCTCTCAGTATTGCTTATTAACACTTTCAGTACAGCTTCCCATAGCAATTTGTGATCTGATCTTCTTAAAAAATAATGTGGCACTTTATCTTAACTTCAGTTGTAAAGCAAATACAGGGCATTCACAGGACTTCAGGAACAAAGACTGACAATTCAACCAAGTTTTATTTTCAAGGTTCCATAGATATCGGAAAAACTCATAGGTAACAAATCTGTTTTGGTTTTGTCTTCTGAATTAGCAGCAAACGAAGTCCTCACAGCTGCTTGCATTTTTTTTGGTGGAGTTCTGAAAATTTGACACGTACTTCACTGTAATACCACTTCATTCTGAGTTTCATTCCTAACCACACCTGATTAAACTATACATCAAAAAGCATCTTTACTATTGACAAAAACATTCTGTGATACAGGAGGTTACATTAGCTGTATATATAACAATACTTCAATTGAATTAAAAAGTTTATGAAGCATCCAATTGATAAGGGAAAATTTCCAAGGGAAAAATCCTTCCAACATTTACTTTAGCGTGCTTTGCTAGTGAAACTGTACACGTACTGCCAAATGTAGGTTAAAAACATGTAAGTATGCAGCACTGACAAGTTCATTATACATACACATTCTTACCAACTTAAGTTTGGTCTGCCTTCATTTTTGGAGTATAAATTGCATAGCAAAACTTAACATTCTACATTGAAAAGAAAAAAGTTAAAACATTCCTTTAAGACAAATTGAAAGAGAGCATTAATTGTACAATTATATCATCAGATAAATTACTTCCTCTTTGCAACGGAAGATGTAAGTTACATTACATCTCAACAAATATGTTCCCTTATGAATAGTGTTTCCTTATGAAACATTAGCAGCTGAAAGTGGAAAGCAGACTACGTATCAAGAGCTTTCAGTTGATAGTGTGGTAACTAGTCTCTCACTAGTTAGACTTCCATTAAGTTACCAGAAGACCAATTAGTGAAAAAGTAATTACATTAGGCTTTTAGCAATAATGATGGACCCATAAAACAAGAAAAACATCTTGTTCATAAAAAAAAATTTCATCTTTGATAAACACGTAAAAATTCTTTAAAATACACATTTTTGTAGCAAAGAAGTGAACAATACTAAATTAAAATATATTCTAATTTTTACATATTTTTATATATATAGCTTAACAAAATATTCTCTTAATACATATTTTAACACTGTACACAAGTTAATAAATGTCTTAATGAAACTCATTAGAAATATATTCAAGCTGTCTCAACATTAAAAATTTAAATCTGTATATAACATGGGGTAAAATAATTTCCATAAATTTAACATCAGTGCATCTGCAGTAGTCATTAACAAAAAATTTCTGCCTGTTAAGAAGTCTCCTCTTGGTGTTAAGGTTTTAATATGTCTTGTATTGAAGATTCCTCTTCTGAGCGAGCAGCTTCCTTCCTTAAGTTCTTCTCCCTCATCAAGGACTTCAATTTTAAGAGCTCAACAGGTTTCACCAAAGCAGCAAGGCTTTAGTACTGAACATACTCAGACTGAAGGGACTGTGCAGAGAAGAAAAACTGATTAATCACTGGGGAGGTTATACTTGTACATAATACGCACCTAAAGATAAGGAGTAGAAGAAGGACAGGAAGAAGAAAAATAGAGAGTTGGAGGGGGATCTGAACCTCTGCATAGGTAAAGAGGAAGAAAATAGAAGAAACTCAAAAACTGGATACAGTAAAGTCCATCGACTTTCCTGTAGCTACACTTACTTTCCCAAACCAAATTCTAGAGATTATTGAAGAAAGTGTTGCAAGTCCTTTAAAACACCACCTTAAAACAATACCTCAAAAATGTGTTGGAAAAACATGATTGCAGTTACTATAATTGAATTGTTTCCATTTATTCTGAAAGAGAATCAAAGTGCTACTATAAAAAATACAGCATACTTTAGATGTTGATTCAGGTAATGACATAGGAAACATATATGGCGTAGCTAATTACTAAGAAAAAAGCTACAGCAGTACAATTATGCACATGAATAAATTTATGTATGATTACTAAAACCAGATGAAAATGAAGCACTACAAATGGTTCATCTGGATTAGCAAGCAGTCAGCATAATTAAGAGGAAAGCATAACCTGGTCTATTCTATTTATTTACATTTCTGGTTCTATGGAAGTCTAAGGTTTTATTATAAAGTAAAGTAATTAATCAGTTTAGACAGCATCCAAACATTTTATTACCCCCTAGACAGATGTGTTCAGGAGGTCATTCTGATGAATAAAAAGTCTTATCTGAGAGTGCTCTTCACTGTACTACTATGGATATAAACAAATAACAAATAAAAAAGCCAAACCATGTTTTAAAACTGCATCAATTCATCACCATTAGAGAGAACTACTGGAGAACAATATGAATCCCAAGAAAGCTCAGAATTTTGGAATCTTCTCTTCTATTTTCCCATTATTCCTAACTAGTCACTATAGAAGTGCTCTTTGGCATCCATAGTGAAAGCTATTAGTAGAAGTGCCTAATAGATACCTAAATCTTTAGAGCTCTAACTAATATCACAAACCCACTTTTTTTCTACATCTTAAGTCTTAGTGTATATTTACAAAGTTGTCTTTTGAAATGCATTTTCACATCTTGAAGATCTGAGACCATCTGGATATTCTTTCCTAGGTTGAAAAAAGCACTGTCAGCATATAGAGATTTGAATACCACTGACTAAAAAGGGTCTGGTTTTAGCATTGAATGGATTCAACGTGAAGGGTATTATTTAATAGAAACTACTTTACCATAAAACTAAACAGATGTAACAAGTATTTTTTTCATTATAGGCTCAGAACTGCTCTGGAATAAACAATCACAGAAGCTTATTTCTCCTGGCTCCATTCTCTAATAATCATGCTGCATTATTAGCTTGGGTAAGAGCACTTGTCAAGCTATTTATTACATATGTAAGAGTAAGACAGAAGGAATAGCCCTTCATTAATGAGCACTTGAAACTTCTGCTCTCTCAATGATCCTTAAAGCTTTCTCATTTTCAGAAGTGTATTTTAACAATTAGAAAGATGGTTACACTTAACTAGAGCAGAATTTGAAATGGATCCTTCAAAACCGGATTCCTAGTAAAGCCGATTAACAAACAAAAAATGCATGAAATTTTATTATATACTCTCATATGTTGTATGAGTAATAGATTACTTTAAGCTTGGACAGATGAAAGATGACCAGAAAGCATTGTACACTTTTGTTGATCTTGGGAACAGCTAGCGTTAGTTGACAAAGAACTACAAACAGCAGCCCTTTACTTAGCAGACAGTAGTAACTGGGAATTATACACCGTAATTTAAACAAGCAAGCAAACCATAAATTAAAGGTTCTGAAGTTTAAACTAAAATTCTTAAAACTGTTAGGAATCCAAGTTACAAAAATACAGAAAAAAGTAATGACAACATATAAAAAACCAAATATCCACACAGCACAGATTGCTTAGAAACAAGATAACGTTTTGTTAATTTTCATTACAGATGGGTCAGCAGGGTTTATTATATTTGTTTTCAAATTAAGAAATATGTTTTTCTGTGTCTTTCCAGCCTCTTCATCGCTCTACTCCACATAGCAATGATTTCTTCCAAATGTTTCAAAGCCTTTTCTTAATACTGGGAAGAATTAAATCTAAGCAGCATTTTTTCCAGATTAAGATTAATTGATGTGACTTCCCATAAAGTTCCTATGACTGAAAACATGGTGATAGCTGTAATAGCTGAGCTGTTGTGAAGTATACAGACTAATTTTTGAGTCTGAAAAATGAAATTATAGCTGGGGAGGGTTGGGGTTTTGGGGCTTTTTTTGCTTTTGCAGTTAAGTAATTTGTGCTCTTAAATCTCTTCACGGTGTCCAAAGAGATTGTCTGTACTATTTCAAAGCCTGGAATTGTGATTTTTTTTATTTTTTTTTTAATCTTTTGAGGAGTTTTCTATTTTAAAATTTACATTCCTACCTCCTGTTTGCAGTGACTCAAAGTATGGCCTGTGATTCTGGAAGCTTTATTAAAAACAAAAAGCCCCAATCCACCTTTACAAGTCATATGCCGGTGTTTAACAAAATCTTATTTCAAATAGAGGTAAAAATAGAAGGAAAAAACTAAAGAAAATGGATTGCTGAATTGCAATGATGTGAGTATAAAATCAGTTAATTGAGTAGAATTCTCAATGTCTACTCCTACAGTGATCCCATGCAGTGTCAAGCATGGCATTTTATACCCAAGTATCAGACATTTAAACTAAGAATTAAGAACTAGATAGCTTCACTACAGTTAATGATATCTAGTTCATGCTGAAGCAACCGCTTAGATCACTATCATTTTTCTTCTTCAATAGGAGTCACGGAAAGCCTCCTGCAAGAGAAAATAAGCCACAGATCCATCTAGGCACGAGACCTGTATTCACATGCATTCAGGTTCAGGACCAAGTCGGCTATGACTTAACTTTTAAGAGGGAACAACCCTATAGCATCTAGGGCTATCTGTTAGGATTTGAATGTGCACTTTTTCCAGATAATTGCAAAAAGTAATTTTAGTTTTTTGAATTGTGCATCAACTCTGCCAAAACATTGTTGCAACAGGAGTGTTGCAGCAGGCAAGAATTACTGTGAATAAAAGATCCATAAAATAAATCGCAGTATGAAAAATGCATATGCACTTGAAGTGATCCTTTGAGTCCACTAAATTTACAGATCAGCAAGATGCACTAGTTTTTGTCTCTCTTTTTGCAAGGGCTCTCCTATATTCGTTAATGGTAAATTCTTATTAAGAAAAACTATTCTACAAGTATAAAGATCATGTATATGAATGTTAAAATACTGCTGTGCTCCTCAATTTTTTGAAATTTTTCCATCTTGCCAGTTTCCATGACAGCTATAGAAGCAAAAGGTGACTCATCTTAAGACTACCCAGTTACATATTCTTCAACAAAAATACATTTTAAAGAGTGATATTTGGATTTATAAATCCTGTAAGAAGGAAGTAAAAATCTTATTGTGGTACCTTAAATGTGGTTATATACTTGATAAGACTACTTCTGAAAATTATAATTGCAAGAGATTCTGTTTTATCAAAACATCAAATTTGTAAAATTTGCAAATATTTATTCTATTTGGCTAGAATTTGTCTATTCTATGAAAATCAAGCTTTTCTTCTAGTTCAGCAGCATACAACAGCACATGGTAAAAAGGAAGTGGAAGATAAGCTTACACTGATGAAGGACAAAAACCATTAGGGAAAAAAATATGACTGACAACAACAGGAAGTCACAGTCATGGTTATTTTTGGCTTGTTTTAAATTGAATGTGGAACTATAGTACTAAATTTTTTCTTAATGTTCTGTTACAAAACAGAAAAAAAAAGTATTGAATAACTTTCTCCTCCATAATGGGGAAAAAAAAAAGTACTTGCATTGCATAAAAATGAAGAACCCAATTTCTTCACTAATGAAATTAAATAACATTAATTAGAACTGAAAATTTGCTGTCCTAACCATCATAAAATGCTCCTGCACCACTAGCATTGATAGTTAATAAACTCAGAAAGAGAAATAAGTGATAAGGTGATTTTCTAAAATAGAGTACCTATATGATTACAGATGGTCAGCTTGGTATCTAACTTGGGTAAGTGAGATTCTGATAATAAAAAGAAGAGGAATATAATTCATGTCATTAAAGTTGTTTGATGAGATAAGTTAAATGAATAAACATAATGACCAGTATATGGAATAGACTTCTGTCATTATCTGATGGGCTCCAATTAGAAAAAAAGTGCAATGTAATGCAAACACTTACTGCAACAAGACTAAGATTTGGCTGAGAAGACTTCTAAGTAATTTCAGTATGTAAAGCATTGATGTGAAAATCATTAGACAGAATTCTGGTTTTAAGACATTTCTGCCAGAACTGGTATTAAAGCTTGATGCTACTCTGCATTTTGCTCATGAGCTTAAAGACCACTGATTAACATCACCAAAAGCAAAATAGCTGGATGTCAGTGGTAGAAGTGGTAAGACAAAACAATCTTCCCTGGCTGGTTAATTGGTCCCATTAAGAAGAGGGGAGGAAAGAAAAAGATGATGCTTTTATAAAGCCAAATGCAGAGTTCCACATACAAAAACAGGGAATGCAGGACATTGGACTACAATACAAGTCAGTATCTTGGATGGGAAGACCTTTTCTTTTTTTTTCTCCCCATGAACTCCCAGCGCATTACAGTTAAAGAAATTATCACAAGCTTCTAAGAACACAGTTCTTAGTTTTTAAGATGTTATACTTTCATTTAGCCTTTTAAGCTGTTTGAGGAAATGTGCTGATTGTTTCTGTAGTGGTTTGTATTCTCATTTGGTACTCCTGTAACTTTTGACCTATTGTAAACAATGTCAGCTTATTTTCATGACTGAGTCACATTACAGTTATAAAGGCATTTCTTCCCTTCGGGCTGTGCATGTAGGTTTACATATTTATGCATAATATGCAGCTGTAACTAGAATATGGAAAGAAACCTCTAAGAATTGCTGCTGGCAGCATATGATTTACAGAGGGTGCAATAGAAAAGAATGGGAATGGGTTGACCTTCTAAAGAATCATTGTTCAAATACATAAAATATGAGACAATATTGAAGGTAAGAAATAAAAAACAAAATCAGACGCTTTACCGCTTAGTTATTCAGATGAGTGATTGCTCTCTACCATTGCTGGTGTATAGACTTTGGTTCCAGTATACTCAACTGGAGCCTCTGACAGTCCTGCTGAGGACTGAACTTCTGTAAGCACGTTGGATAAAAGACTGGGAACACCTAACTAAAAAAGCTGACTTCCCAGAACCATCAAAATTCATGAACAAGTGAAAGTCTCATGGATGTGTTTCAAATCAAACATCCTCAGCTTGCTGAACAGCTTTTCACCTCTCTCCTCATCTCTATGCCTGGAGAAATTGAACCAAATTAGTTACTTAAACTAAAACAGTTCTCTTGTTCTAGAACTGGTTTCACCATAAGAAAACTGGGATGGTTTCTATATCCAACTTGAGAAAAATCTCGATTATATATAGTTTACCTCAATCCTATGTAGCAGGTAAAAACACACCCAAATTAAAGAGGTAAAACAACTTCAAAAAACTGAAAGGATGTGGCAATATTCAAGAATTCTCTTGCAAATAAGTTACTGCTGATGTTTAAAGTTTAAACTCAGATTTAAACTCAATGGAGAATGCTCAGTGATACTAAGGATCATGGAATATTAACATTTATTTACAGATAAGTTGTGGTGGATAAGAAGTTAAATGTACTTTCAAAGAGTCTGAAAGCATCAAGTTTATTTTAAAGAGTTGCTTTAGGTCAAGCACATCCCAGCACAGTTACTCTACTCCTTTTCCAGAGGAAGTATCCATTGAATTTATGAGAATACAGAATCAAGTTCTTTCAACCGGCTCCATTTTCAAGGTACTTTGGATACTAGTTAAGTTTCAGTCACATACACAATTTAGTTCCACAATGGAACAATGAGAATTTATTTCCTACTGTTGTCTGTCCTCAGGAAGGAGGCTGCACAGGGAAGTGGTGCAGTCACCATCCCTGGAGGTATTTAAAGGATGGGTAGACGTGGTGCTTAGGGACATGGTTTAGTGGTGGTTTTGGCAGTGTTAGGTTGATGGTTGGACCTGATGATCTTAAAGGTCCCTTTCAACCTAGACGATTCTATGATTCTAAAGTGCAATTCACTCCCAAACTATAAACATGTGGCTTCTGAAGCATAAGTGGTGCCATACTAGCTGTTAATGAGAAAGTAGATTCCCCGCTTCTTCAGCAAAAAGAGAACACAACCCATGAACAATCTTTTTGGCTGACGTCCTTGTTACATGCAATGTGTCTATTAGTTGTTTTAAGACAGGGGACTCAGCACACTCAATAACAGTCGCAGGTATAACACTAAAACTTTCTTTATACCAAAACAGTTTATCAGTGGCAAGGAAACAGAAAAGCAAGCTGTGATGTTCTGAAGTTAATTTTATATAAAGGTAATTTTATTTCCAGCAACTAAAAAAATAAAAGTCTGTAGTGTCAGTACTACTAAACAGAGACTGACAGGTTCAATTAATTGTAGGCAATATATTCTATTAAGAACATTGCAGTAATTTTTGTAATTAGTAGGATGTCAAATCTTTGGAAACCAGATATTTTGAATTGTTTTCATAGTAGTAAATATGTTTATTTTTTCCCTAAAATGGCTGAAGTTATTTCTGATTCCATAACTGAAGTTCTCTAGTCTCTCTTCTCTGCATTTTGTATAGAATCACTTTCAAGTTGCATTCATTTATCCATGCATCCTCTTTACACAGACTATTTCATACAGAAAAAGGGCACAAAATAAGCCCAAGGCAGCAAAGTTTTGAGGAATGAAAACTAAAATGGTGAGACCATCAAAGTATCTTGCTCTAAAATAGTCTTCACATTTGGTGTTAGAAAAGGACTAGGTTTCAAGTCAAGTGGAGTCATCTTTCAAATGAGCCCTATCTTTAAGAATGTTGTACCTTCCATTTAGTATGATACATACAAAGGTTTCTTTAAATCTGTTACTGCATAAAGATTAAGATACATAATAAACAAACTATGTTATGGATAATTTGAAATAAAAAAAAATCTAAAGGGTAAGAAGGTCCATAAAGATATCAGAAAAGGTGTTAATTTAAGTTTAGGAGTAATTTATTTTCATGAACCCTACATGATCTAGATGCTTGAAAGAGATGGGAAAAAAAGCAGCTGAAATGATAATTACTTAAGAAGGTAACAGACAAAGGTGCTGTTCAGAAACATTAAAAGGCAGTCAGAGAATCGTGCTGGGTTAAGATTTTTTTTGTGACAGCTTTGCCCGCACAAGCAAGGAAGATAAGCATCGGTCAGATGCCCGAAAGTGCTGTTGCGACTATGAACTTACAGGAATTGATTGACTCTGGTATCGTGCTGGAGGAGTTGTAAGGCCCATAAAGGAAGGTTGATGCGTACTCATCTGTCACGGCGCTGTGAAAACTGGTTTGGCTGCTCAGGTTGTTGCCACTACTGCTGTTTCTGTTGTATAAGTTGTTGTTCAGTTCATGGTTATTTCTGTCAGGCAGCTGCAAGCTGCCATTCAAGTGGCTGGAGATTTGGCTTACAGAAAAACCTGTCCTAGAGGACGATGATGTCATTTTGCTCTCATCATCATCTGAAGCAGCATACAGGTTCCCTAGAGAACTGGCTAGTCTGGAGTTTATGGAAACGCTGAATGGAAAACACATGTGGGGAAAAAAATACACACAACGTATGTACAGATATATACAAAAAAAATAAGACAATCCAGAAGACATTAGGTGAATAACACAGACCATTCTGAATAACTTGCGTTTGCACAAAGGTTCATCTTCTAGCTCTCAAATAATGAAAACCAGAATTCTTTGTCAGGAGTTCCCAAACTTTGTTTATTCAAGCACTACCGTGGCCAGCTTTCACCTCTGTCAAACCATATGCACGTGCAGGAGTCTGTGAAAAGCTTTAGGCAGTGGCTGAAGTACTTTGTGTACATGTATCAGTTTAAGAACTCCTCTTCTGTTCCTTGAAATCAGTAACATGATACAAGTAACCAGGAAGTAATACAATAAAATTTGAGAATAAAAATAGGGTGTCCTGAAATATCTCTTTAAGTTAGTTATTTTCTTCAAGTAAATATTTGTGCCCAGAAGTTATTAAAAATGCATCCATCGTTCTAAGTTTTGTTCAACATTCATAATTACTTAGTACAATAGTAGTAATAGAATTAAATAGCAATAAATCAAGGGTTCATATAAATCATATTAATTAGCATTCAGTATTCTTCTGAGAGTAACAGTATATAGACTCGTGGGAATACTTGCAAAACTTCTATAAACTCTCATGGGTAAAAAACCCCAACCTGAGCAACATAATACTGTTTCTGACTTGATATTATTGCACCAAAACTCTCATACCAGTAGTATAGGTTTAGGGGTTGACTCGTTTTTTAAAATCTGCAGGCAACTAAAGCTCGGCTAGTGGAACAGCAAATCACTTTTAAGTAAATATACACCTTCTTACATCCAAGAACAGCAAGCACTTCGTAGGCTGCATATGTGCTGAAAACAATTGTAATGCACAGTAAAGTATTGTACCAAAATGAGAAGAAGTAAAAAAACACCTTTTAAGGTTAGAGCCTGAGGATGTGGGAATTCTGCTTATTCTTTCTGCAGATGGTGAATTAACTGCCATCACTTTGGAGGCCTTCAGAGGTGACATGGATCCTTCTGTGCTACCTGAATTATTCAGTCTAAAAGGAGTGGAGAGTTTTAGTGAGAAGCAAGATTTTTTATAATTGAAATATACATCTCAGAAACACATACAGTCTTTTGATACATAGACATATTTTAAAAAGTGGGAATTCCCAAGTCTGAGTACTGAAAACTCAACAGCAAAAACTTAACAGTTTGCCTGTTTTCAAATATTTGTTCAAAAAACTTTTCAAATATCCCACTCCCAAGTTTTTTCCCTGCTGTACCATATTATACAGTTATAGGTTACTTTTTACCTTGATAATTTGTGAAGGCTAAGGGTCCATTTTGTATCAAACTTATTGTAAATTTTATTATAAATATTAAATACTGTAAGTTTGAGAAAAAATACTTCTTGTGCTTGTAAAACAAGTATGAGTAGAAAAACCCAGCACAGTAGCTTTCATGTGAACACCATCATTCCCAAATGACAGCAAGAACATTTTTACAAAGTTGGAAAGAACATACAGCTCTTTCTAGAGTGGGACTCTTAATGACCAAATTCTTCATATTTTGATAATGAGCTGCAAGTATGGTACACTGGACTACTCAAAAATGTAAGCATTATAACTGTCCATATTAGTTTATTAGAAACTAATAAATGACTAGCCTCGCAGTAGTATGAAATTATCTCCATCCTTAGTCAAGAGGATATTATCATGATCAGCTCTTAAAGGATGAAAGACCTTGGCTACAAGCATAGAAGGAATGACATTGAGCAGAAATAGCTTTAATTCCACAACACGCAAGGGTAAACAGACATCTCTGAGGTTTGACATCTGGAGTCATCCATCTCAAAAATCCAGGTTGTCACAAAACTGAAGATAATATGTTCTTTTCCATATAAATGCTTTATAATGACAGATATTTTGTCTTACGTGTTGTATTTTAGATGCAATGGGGTAAAAGATGCAATTGTTTACAAAACCAAGAGACTCAATTCTACCATTCCTATAAGTCTTAAAATTAAGTCAATTTTCACACTATGTTTTCATTTTCTTTTGAGGGGGCACCATCAGTACTGATTTGAGATTAGTACAGGTCATAAATGAAATAAACATTTAGAAAGTGAGAAGAAACTATTGGCTTTATTGGCTCCACAGAAAGTTCTAAACAAAGCATGTGATAAAGTGTACAGTGAGGATCCTGTATTAAAATATGAAAGTCTACTAAAACTCAGTATTTATCTGGTACATCTTCTAAAAAAAAAAAAAAAAGGCTACTGATTGTATCCACTAAGCAATAACTCTAGTTCATCTGCTAAAACACACAGGACAAAAATTGTGATATGCAGACAATATGTAGTCAATTTAGGCTTTTGAGACAAGTATTTAATTTTACAGAGATAAAGTGGTTATGTGTTAACTAGTCATCCTTCATTGCATAACAGCATAGATATTAGAAAATGCGACTGAGGAAATTACTTGTATGTGCTATTTATTTATTAAGAAGAATTCAAGGTATCCCTGAAGTAGAGCCATACCCCTCTGTCCATTAGATTCATTTTTCCTCCTGTTCGCAGGTGTTTAGAAAAGTTTCTCAGAAGTCTGAAAATGCTAATCAGTTGATGTGATAGGCATAAGTCAAAACACTGAAAATTTAAGACCTAAGTGGTATACATTTAGAACTATAACTTTAAAGTTAATACCTGAAAGGTTGTGATATTGACCTGGTGTGCAGTTTCATGTCTTGCACCCTAAAGAAACGAAAGAAGCAATCTTCATCAAAGGCTAAAAGTCCCTTCCCCTCCCCTAAAGCATACTTACATGTCCCATACCAGCTTTAAAGTACATGACTAACAAGAGTTAAGAATTATCAACAATCATTTTAATTTACACTTAAAAAACGGAGGGCTAATTCAGGTTTATTTGCAAGCTTCACATTTTTACTGGTCTGAAACATTCAAAATTTATATAAGCAGTACAGAAAAGTAATTATAGAAAGATAAAATTAAGTTCATTGAAGAATATTTTGTTTGAGACATAAGCTTTAAAGTGCTAGATAGCTATAAATTTGAAGGTTTTGAAACATTTTTTTACTTTGTCTTTTACTGCTACATAATCAGTAGGCATCTTGAACAGGGAGACAGAGGAATCAAAAATAAAAGACAAAATTAATAAACCAGATCTGATATATACCTAGGGAAATTTCCACCACAGAAGGTGGTACAGCTAGTACCACTGCCTTAAACAAGGTCATGTACTTGCCATAAAGGTCTGATAGCGTAGGCTGAATTTAAAATTGCAAATTACCTCAGAATTAATTAATTAATTACCTCAGAGCTCCAGTTGTAGCAGAACATAGCCGTCTCCGACTTTTTAAGGCATTAAGCTTATCTCCCTGCGTCATGCCATTCTGAGTTTCCACACCTGCTTTGTCTTCAAAATCATTCTGGGAAACACAAAGTATGCAAGCAAGGAAATATATCAAATCCTTAGGAGTCGCATAGTTTCTAAGTATTAAACATCTCATTCACAAGGATTATCATTTAAAAGGCTAATCTAGTCTTCTGCATACATGGGGCACTACTCGGTCTTTGTATAGTTCCAGTAAATTAAATGTGTCACTGTACAAATGCACATACATTCACAGAGTTTTTTTGCAGAATCTGACCTCAAAGTCAGTTCAGGATGCTTGAGTCTAACACCAGTATTTATTTACTTCAAGGAAGTCTGTTTTTATAGAACTTAAACTCCGACTCCTTCCTCCATAAGTATTTTTAAAGTTATCGTCAATGCAGAAGGGAAGCAGTAACACACAATTTTGGGATATCCATGAGATGAGGAAGAAATCGATACAGTTGTGTGTCCTGCAAGAGGAGCTAAAAAGCAACTTTCCTAAACTACTGATTTTTTTTAAAAGAGTTCTCACGACCTCTAGAAAAATACAGTTTTGAAAAAAAATTCCCTACAAGAACTTAATAAAGAAGTTATAGGATGAACAGGCTTCAGAATTTTATCCTTCTTCTAGCTTAGAAAATATTATAAACTCCAAGAAATATTAACAGCGTATGCCAACACTGTTTAAATGCCTATTTATAATTTCTGATTGATCTCAAAATATACTTTTCTAAAACCCAAGGGTTAATTAGAGACAGTATCTTAAATAGAAGAGATATATGAAAGTTACACAAAGAAAGAAGAGAATTGTGATTGTGTTTTAAATTACCAAATGAAAAAACTTATACCTCAGAATCACAGAATGGTCAGGGTTGGAAGGGACCTCTGGAGATCATCTAGTCCCACACCCCCGCCAGAGCAGGGTCACCTACAGCAGGTTGCACAGGACGGCGTCCAGGCGGGTTTTGAATGTCTCCAGAGTGGGAGACTCCACCACCTCTCTGGGCAGCCTGTTCCAGTGCTCCACTACCCTCAAAGTAAAGAAGTTCCTTCTCATGTTAAGATGGAACTTCCTATGTTCAAGTTTGTGCCCATTACCCCTCGTCCTATCGCTGGGCACCACTGAAAAAAGACTGCTCCCATCCCCCTGGCACCCTCCCTTTAAGTATTTGTAAGCATTAATAAGATCCCCCCTCAATCTTCTTTTCTCTAGACTAAAGAGACCCAAGTCCCTAAGCCTTTCTTCCATATGAGAGATGTTCCAATCCCCTAATCATCTTTTTTTTTGAAGTGGAGATTTGTTCTGATTATGACCTATAAAAAAAGTTTAGCTGTGAAAAAGCAATTTATTACCAATACAAGACTAAAAAAAATTATCTATAGCTAGTTATTGAAAGGTCAGCTCCACCTCTGCTTGTTTGAAATTCTTCCTATGAATCTTACCTCCCTGTATTGATCCAAGTCTTGTACTTTATTCAAGCTGTCACTGATTGAAATGTCATTCAAACCACAAAGAACTCTGTTAATATTTCCATCAACTACTCGTCGTTTCTGCTTTGATCGGATGAGATCTCCCTCCAGCCATAACATTGCTTGCTTCCTTTAGGATACAAAACCAAATCAAATTTGCATACTTATAAAAAACAATATGAAAACATGCTACTCTTACAGATTACCAACATTTGAATCTTCTGTATGTGTTCATCTGGAAAAAAAAATTTGAATGTCTATCACCAAAAAAACAAAGACAAACAAAATCATCAGTTTCAATGGTTAAAAACAACAACAAACCCCCCCCAGAATCACCAAACAAGTCTGTAGCCATCAAAGAAAAATCACAGGTACTAAAACTTCACTTAAAAAATCCTACTGGGAAAAGAAATTAACTAACCAGGAATTTGCAACAGTATTTTAAAGGCTTTTAAAACACAACTTAAAATTTAATACAAAATAATGCTTTTATATATGCAATGTGTAGAACAAATAATGATATAGGACTTTCCAACTTATTAGCATGAGTTTTGTGTATACAGACATTGTACAGTAAAAATTGCTACAATATGCATGGGCTAAGCAGGCTGTTGTTGATGAGACTGCATTATTCCTCGATAAGGAAGTTTGCTGGTTAGGTACCTGTCACGCTAGTTCCATCCAAGAACTGAGATCCTATTACATATTACTGTAACAAAATTAAATTCCTATACTGAACAGAGAAAATAGAACGAGTAATTAAATCAGAATATACTTACACTGGAAAATTTTCTTTGTTTGAAAGAAAAATACTATGGCAAAGCTTAAGAGCCAAGTAGTCTGAACCAACTGCCTAAACTTGCTCAATGATAAATGGGAAAGGTAAGCACTTCCAGAGAAATTTCACTATGTCCCAAGAAAACATCCAGAGAAGGAGGGAGCGGGGGGAGAGGGAGCGCCACTTATTCCACCTAACAGAAGTAGCCTAGAAAATATCTTGAATTTAAATTGCTTTGAAATCTTTCAAGATTAATTGCATTCACAGTAACAAACTGATTTGATACATACTTGGGTTGGAGGGTCTCTACAGAAAAAACTTTTCAAACCTCCCTTATTAAACCTCAAAGAATCTAAGAGACAAAGCTTTGACATCTATGAAGGTTTGGAGATCAAAGCTGCAAGATTTTACCTTTTTGTCAGATGCAAATCTGCAGCCCTGAGGGCAAGTTATTTTATGTTAGAATGATGCAACTGATGTTAGCTACTTCTTTTTCAATCCCATTTTGACACTACTGGTGACATTGCTTGAATTTTTTCTGATTGTCAAAAAAGGTATTTCTTGCCATTAGGACAACAGAAAATTCTTAGTTAACAATACTACAGCTCTTTGCTATGATTAATGTAGGTATGAATGAAAAAAATCTGAAGGATCTTTGCCTATCTGTAAAATCAAACCAAGTATTTGTACACCACTGCAGAAAAGACATGGACCCTGTGTTTCCTATCTTTCAAGTAAACAGCACTTACTAATCACTCTACCTACTACCCTTCTCTTTTAATTTCACTCTATTGTGGAAGTTATTTTTAAAAGTGCATCATCCAAGCATCAGCACGGTGCAGAGAAGATTAATCTGCCTTCAGCGAGCACTTGTGGCTTGTGAAAGTTTGTGATTCACAGTATTTTAATAATGGTGGGCACCTCTCAAATAAAGGTGTGTCCATTCAGTTGTACTGGAAAATAAACAGAAATCCTCAATTATGCTCACTTTCCCTTATGAATTACAGCAATACTCCTTCTTTCCCTCTGATCTCCTATGGATTTTAAGATGCAAGGTCAGTGCATATTTTAGTCTACTTACACAATATCTAGCAGAGCTCTTGTATTCTCTTTTTTCCAGAGAAACAAATTTGTGGTGGATTTTCTCAAAAACATTTTTTTTTCTCATAACAGAAAAATGCCTCCAACGAAGTATCATCAGGATAGCAACTCAAAAATATCAGCATAACCACTATAATAGTAAATGCACAAGGTAGATACCACTATGAAATTAAACTTAAAGTCTACATCACTGAAGCCAGTATAATTTTGTCATTCATTTCCAGTCAGGATCAAACCATGAATCACCCATTCAAATTATCTGCACGTGAAATGTTCTCAACCCAAAGTATACAGTCAATTTTGAGAAGGAGCTGTATTAAACCCATAGATTTGTTTTGTTAACTACTATTAGCTCCAAATCAGAAGTGCTTCATCCATTATGCTAAGAATCTGACAGAGATCATAAGCTGCCAACCACATATTTATTTAATCTTTAGTTACAAGAAAGAAAAAAACATATCAATTATACTATTGTAAGATTCATTTTAAGTGTAATCATAGGCTATATATAAAAGTATATCAAGTCTATCCTTTCTATGTTAATTTTTTAATAAATCCTTATTGTTGATTTAATCTTTTGTCCACATCTGGACTTTACACTTCCAACACGTTTGTCTAACTCCTAAATCCCCCAGAACACAAACATGCAGACTCTTGAGACCCTCTGCCCCTTAAGGTGACAAAATGCATAGCACTCCAGGGAAGACGATTGCTACTGAGTAAATTTGATTTCAATCCCAAGTTAACTAACCTTAAGTATATTGCAACAGGCAGTAATATACAACATCAGTAGACAGAAAGCAGATCCTATAAATAGCGCAAGATGGATAAGAATGTAGGGGAGCAGCTGATTCTTAGTAGCAAAGAAGGTATACATACTCTTCCAAGAAGTGTTGCTGGGGTCCTATAATAGAGCCTGGTCGACATATTCTTATCCAAGCAATGGCTTCAGCATGAGTGAACTTGTAGTGTTTCATTATGTAACAGGCAATTAGTGTTCCTGTTCTCCCCAGGCCAGCTACAAAAACAAAAATATCAGCAATCACATAGGTAGTCATGAGCATTTCATAATTATCAAATTGAAGTATGGGATATGAGAAGACTTCTTTGCGATGTTATCCGCCACCTTAATATCTGAAGAAATAACTTCCGATTCAGTATCCCGTTTATCGTATAATTGGATTTCAATGCTGTATATATAAGAACAAATATATCACACATCAAAAGTTCACAGCGTTTAAGAACGCGTGAACAGTGATCAGTCTTGGCACTTGTACAATTCTACCTCCAACTATTTTTTTAAATAAAAAAGGCTGGTATTTAAAAAAAAAAAAGCCGTGACTAAGCTGGATACAAACTTCATATTCATGAAAGCAGTAAAAAACAAACTCCAAGTACCTTTGAGAGGCCAACACACATACTTTAGAAATCAAGGTTCAAATGCATGCAAATATATGTGCACATCACAACAGACAGCAGCACATGTCTTCTCAGACAATGGCTTTTTCTTTTTGAATCAGTTTTGTTGTGAAACCAACCTATAAAACTATTTACTGCTGACTGTATAAATGGCAATGAATGTTGACCAGCATATACTTATATATATATCAATAGCTTTAACCCATTGCCCCCCAAATCACAAACTAATCCTGGTTTTAAGGGGAGAATAGAAAGAAAGAAAAAATAGCTTTTACTATCAGACAAATCTCTAACCGTAGAGAAAGAATTAATCTCTTTCTAGCCCTGTGTTTTATCTACTAGTAAGGTGTCTCCCCATTTAAACCTTATTTTCATGGGAATACAATTATTTGCAACTTACAGTCTCATGGTGGCCAGCTATTGTTTATGCACCAACAACTGTTTAAATGGAAACTCTCTAAGCAGTTGGACATCCTTGCTGACAATTCTATACACAACTACAAGCTCTTGACATTTAACCAATAACTAAATCTTGCTGTGAATTTTTGGAAAGTTAAGATGATTCAGGTAAAAGGATGAAGGTAAAAGTTCACAAACAGTGAGATTCTGTAACTGTGTACTGGAAGACTAGCTCTGAAGAATCATTTAAAAAGGGGAAGTATTGTTAGAGAGAGTTTTGGGCTCTGATTTTTGGTTTTTTTGCTGGTTTGTTTTTTGGTTGGTTTTTTTTTTTAATGCAAAATGAATGCAACATGCAAATAGATAGCCAAGAGCTGTACTATACTAAACATACATCTGAGTAAGAAAATGGTCTCTGAAAATTGCAGGTAACATCACCAACTGCATATATCACTAAGACTTCAGTGCTTTTCTCTAAGTTCCTGCTAATGTACGAACTTTCCCTAGTAACCCTTTGCATTAAACCACTCTATAACTCCAGGGACAAGCAATTTCTAGTGTTGAAGCTGTGCTTGGAATACTTCTGCAACAAGAGCACAAGAAAACTACAGATAATACATTAACTTTGAGTTAACTGCTGATTTAACTTCGTATACGCTTATTTAAAAGGGTGCAAAAAAAACCCTGAAAAGAATGAGATTATTGGTTTGCTCATTAAATGGTCAGGTGAAAGACCAAAAATACTTCAGTTTAGCAAGTGCTTACCTGAAAAGTAGATTGTGTTCCTTTAGCAACTAAGCCTGGAGAATAACAATCTACTCCTGCTAATCAATAATTTATACTCTCTTTTAGTCAATTAGCAGATGTCCAGTTTATTAATGCCAGTATTTCTGGGGTTTAGCTACAGCAACAACTTGTTAGCAAATAAACTTAATCATCTTCGATATGGATGTTTATTGTTCATGGAAAAATGATGAATGAATAGCACTATTCTTGTTTCCGATCAGCAAGACATTCGTCTCCACAATGTCCTTATACAACTCTAAACATAAATTAAGCCGTACCCTTCAAAGCCTTTGTTAATCATTCTTGACTAAGCATGTTTTGTGTATTTTCTGGCTGATTTGCTGAAATAGGCTGGTTTGAAATGCTGGCATCACATTAACTTGAAATGTGGAAGTCATGCTCCACAGAAAAATGTAGAACAGTCCAAAAGCACAAAGAAAACCTTTCAGTCTTTTGGCTTTTCCTAGCAAATTATCATAATGCTGTGAAAGCATACTGCAAAAGAGAAATCTCCATCAACTAAAACTCACGCCTTCAAGTGATATTAAGAAAAAAACAGAACAATGAACAACAGATTGTCAGTTACTGTAAATAGTAGTGTAGGATGAAAGAACTTAATATGCACATGAAAATAACAAATATTTGTCATATATTTAGTCAAGTAGCATAAAGCAATATTACTTTCACAACCAGAAAGTGTTATTTTTTAAATGCTTTATTTCTGGAATAAGCTCTATGGATTTATACCTGTTTTGAACTTCAGTCTGATAAATAAATAAGTGCACATACCTTTACAATGTACAGCAATAGCACCGTCAGCATTTTCACAGATGTTCAAGAACCTCTGAACAATACTGTCGCTTGGTGTGCTTCCATCTATGAAGAACAGGTCATACTGCTCAAAACCAGCATCAGTAAAGCGTTTTGCCTCATAAATTTTTTTGTTTAGTCTTATGATTGATGTGACATTATGTTTCTTGAAATAGGGAAAGTAGGCTTCAGGTGCATGAAGAGGATAACCTGTAAAAAAATAAACCAACAACAATTTAATGTCATAGATGAAGTCCGAAGTCCTACTCATCAAAATTGCCCCCAAAACCTTTTCTGAATGGTAACATGCTAATACTAAAAATGCTTTAATATTTTATTCAGAATAAACTTTTGGTGATATAAAAGAATTGTCCACGAAATGCTCATGAAGACCACTCTAATTAAAAAAAGGATGAGAAAAAAAATTAAAGCACAGTATATATGAAATACTGTACTGTCTCCTGTTTAGCCTATTCCTCTCTACAAGTAGGGTTTTATACATAAAGCTTGGCACATATATGAATACAGCATTTCAGAACAGCTGTTTATAGTCAAGCTGCAGATCAAAGAATAGGAACATGCTTGAAGAGGAAACACTGTGTTTATGACAAAAACAGACTGGTGATCTATACTATGGACAAGAGGAACAGTCAAAGGATAAACCGCAGTACCAGAAATATTCTTGCTCCACTGCGAAGTAAAAAAGCTTTAGTGCCTTGATTCAGTTGAGAGACAAAAGGATCCTCTAGATAAAGATCGAGGGGCAGGGAGGGAGGTCCAAGACGAACCACACCACAACCGTTTAAGAACACTTTCACCAAATAGATGTTCCCTGTTGACGAGAAGGTGAGGGAGTGTGTGCATGTGCGCACATGTCTATAGGATGGATGTATGTAAAATGTAGTTATTCCTTTCCATTCACAATTAAGTCTTATAAACAGAACACAGGAACAACATAGCTACCCCAAAAATCAGAAGGTCTGTCATTAACCAAATTGACTGGTTTATCTCCAGATTTTTTTTTCCTGTTCAAATAAAGTTCAAAAGCTTCCTCACAAAACATGGGTCATTTCCACGAGTCATATATGCATTAGTAAATGCAATTAGAGTCACAACATAAAGAGAAAAAGGTAGCTTTGTAATGTATACTTATACTCAACTGGGTGAGGCTTATGTGTAGCCTCAGAACTGGATTTTAAGCATTAATGTTAATTTAGTAATTTTCAGTTATATACATGTTAAAAATAAAACGCAGGTTTTCTAAAATCCACGGAACAATTTAAGTAATTAAATTAAATCTTCAAGAAGGGACTGTAACAGTGATTGGGGAAGAAACCCAAACCAACCTAAATATTTCCTCCCTGAATTTTATTTAAATTTTCAGTGGACACTATGCAATTAGCAGCATTCCAGTCATGAACAAAACATGAGAGAGAAGTGAAAAAAAAATGAAGAAAAACTAAACCCCATGCTCACATAAAAAAAGTGACATGGCACAAAGAATAAGGTGAAAGTCAGCAAAAATCTGATTGTAGTTTTTAAATGACTGATTTTCCTTTTAGCTGGACCAAATCTCTACTTTCTCTCTGTCAGTCAAGTTTCTCTTTTTTTATTCCATTAGAATCACACAGGTTCTTCCCATTATCCCAAGAATCTTCAGTAGTAAAGGCAAGCTTCTTTTTAAACCTGGCCTTTGTTACAAAAGTCTTAATACAGTCTCCTTTGCTTTACACAACTCACCTTTAATTCTGCATAATTATGGTATCGGGTTCAGACCTGAATTTCTCAGGCACTTTGTCATTGAAAGTTACTGACTGTTAGAAGAATTAGAATTCTTCTAGCAAAGAATTCCAAAACCTTTGGAATTAAGTTCTACGATCGTATGTAAAATGTTCACTGTATGATTAATTCTGAAGATGAAAATTAATCTATAAACCTCTATTATCTTCTGCTCATTTGCCATGACTGTTTAACAAGCTGGAAAAAATAAGATCATAAAATAGCATTAAAATATACACCATACCATTTTCAAGTTTGCTTTTTGGGTGTGGTCCACTAAATGCCAAAAATTTTCCTGGAACAATCCAGTTGAAATCACCATTTTCCACTCGCTATAAAAATTTCAGAAGAGAGAAAAGCATTTTATATCTGTACATACAAGGTTTAAAAAATTACTCAAGGTTTTATTTTACATTTTACTATGTTCTTGCTGCATTAAAATGAAACACTTCAAATGAAATTAGCTAGCTTACCTATAAGGGACAAACTAACCAACCATAAGCTGCTTCTCAAAAATCTCTAAATAAAATGCAACGCAAAAAATTTTGCCCAAGTTTTCCAATAAAACCAAAAAGATCCTGTATCTCAAATATTTCTCCCTTAGAGGGTTCTGCCCTTTAAGATACCTACTTACAAAAACACTGACAAACACCAAAATTCTTGTATGTTTTAATCAAAGAATATGGAAAAACACTTCCCTGTAAGGCACTGGCTAAAAACCCCAATTCACATAAAACAAATTAAAAACCTATTTGCCTTCAAAACCAATTATCCTTTCCCTGTAGAAACTGAAATTTACATATCGGCATAAACTCTGATGAGCCAGTAATCACAGAAGCAAAGCATAAATCAAATAAAAAGACTAAATAAAAAAACCCTCAAACTTTCAAACTGTGATGTTTTGCATTTCTCGCTAACTTTTAAATGAAAACTTCAAAATGGCTCTGCAAATTTTGTCAGTGCCAAAACTGGAAGCTTCTTTGGAAATACATAGCTAAAGTTCAAAACCACCTTTTACTTTTTTAATTGAAGAGTGCTCATTCTTCATTTGGCAATGCAGTTATTCTCATCATGACTTTTAAGGACATGGCACTCAGTTCAACTGCATTATTAAGCTTGTGCTTCTAGTTCTCAGCAAATCAAAACATCCTAATGAGTGAAAGATTCTGATAATAGACATTACTGTAATCAATTCACCAACTGTTTGCTTAGCTGAGCCCATTAGCCTTGCTCCAAATGTCCTCACACAGTGAAAACTCCTGTAAGTTAACAAGGTTGCATAAGGACTAGTGAAACCTTCTTACTGCCAAGTCAGGACCCCTCGCCCCCCTGAATTTCTACCACAGATTGCAATCTCAACATTGTAGCACCTCTACCCCCTTTAAGAAAGAAGTCCTGTTCAATAAAAGTATTTTTATATTTTTTTACCAGTTTTATTTGTGAATTAAGTAGTTCTTTGCAGTTACATGGGTTGTTGTGAATAATTTAAATTTAAACCAATCTGGACTACAGATATGTATACCACATGCAAACAGCATTACTATTTAAAAAAAGAGAACTTGAGTATTTTATAGTCCAACAAAAGGGGAATTAACTGCCTTGATAACGTAGCAAAGATGAAAGAACTATAAACGTGAAATAGAATTTCCCTTAGCCTGCTCCCTTTAAGTCTTATGCAACTTTTCTCCACGTAACTACACATTTGAAGACTTAACAAAGCAAAAACTTGGAACATTTAAAGTTTTAGAAATATAGCACAGGACATGTCTAAACATACAAAGCTGACCACAATGTGTAAAATAATAGAAGACATACCCAAAAAATGGACAAAAAAATTAAAGATGATTCCAAGTTCTTGCTTCTTAAACTCAGACAGTGGGCAGCGTACTTTAAACAGCATTCACACATACATACTTTTCACAAACTAAAATAATGTTAAGCATTAAACAACGTAATGGGATAGCTTTAGACAATTATTTTAATACTTTTTTCAGGCAGAAAATCTGCCTTTGACATCATTATGGAACATTCAAGTATACAGAAATCCTTCTACAAATGCTTTTAACTTTTGTGAATGCCTACATGTTACAACGTGCCTATTGCAACCAACATCCACTGTATAGATTTGTATTGCAAATTAAGTTTTTAAACTGTTTATTCCTCCCTGACTTCACCCTCTTTCTTGAACATTTATGAAGCATTTCCTATAGCTGCATGTATTTCAGGTATGTACTGTCATCCATATCTTCTTGCTTGTAAAAGTTATTTATCAAGTGTTAGAGAGATTTAAGAAAAGCAATTATCTCTAAAACTTGTTTGATATTAGAAATCTTCAACTTAAGATAATAAATTTTAAAATGGACATTTTCAGACTAAGCAAATTTATTCTCATTATTTCCACTTTTTCTGAAAATTGCAATAGAGGGGCTGGGGGGAAGAACACTGGCTACAATAAAGTAACAGAACTCCAAGAAGAGAGTTTAACATACATTCAAATGTCTAGTACACTTCTAGTTTGGATATCTTTCTCCTCAACTAATGCAACTGCAGGAACTTTAGGAAGTTCCAAAGACAAGGTCCAATACAACTACATGGTTGTCACTGACTTCAGTAAAAACCCTTTCCCTTCTTTTGGAGTGCGGGAAATTGTAGACAAAGATCACGCAACTCTTCTGGAGCAGACGGATACACCCCTTCTGTGCCTGCCATTTCCTCTGTACACAGCCCAGTTCACAGGTGTAGCACAGGCATATTTTAAAGGGTCTCTCCAGTAATATAGCTTCAGATAACTGTCTACTACTAGCGGATAAAAGTGCTTATGTTACAGAACAAAGTCCTAGAAGCATTTAGAGTCATTCAGAGTATCTATTCTTAAGTTGTAAGAAGGCTGGCAGAACAATGAATGACATCTGTTAGCTTTCATTAGGGAAATATCTTGGATGCATTTTTATTACCGGAATCCCCATATAATGCATCTTTACTAAAAAAGCTCAAAATGTGTTTAATCTATGTGGCTACAAAAATTTATCATGTATTTGGTACTAATAGCATCTCAAGAAGCTGCTCAACAGATTCTGTGGGTGAGATGAGAGACCTTGGCTCATATCCTGGGGGAAGACTGGGAAAGCACGAAAGACATCCCAGAAGCCAGAAAGGCTACAAGAAAAACAGTAGACTCATGTGATGCACTGAAATTGCAAGGATATTCATTCTGCATGTTTTTCACATACAGACAGGTTTGTATGTACATACCTTACATATGAACACTGGGTTTTACTTGAATTCAAATGTGTTTCCAGTCTGTTTGAAGTCGTGCGATACTGTATATTCTAACTTATTTTAGGTAAAGCAAACACATTCAACTCATTATTAAATGTACAAACCTCATAGTGTTCATATTCATCCACATCAAATGTCTTAAAGTCAAAAAATCCATGCTGCAAGGCCTAAAAGGCAACAAGGTGTCAGTTTATTCTGAAATATGATATTTAAACTCATTTTATAACACTGTTTTTGAGAATCAAAACGAAATCACTGAATGTGCTTTTGGCTTATTGAAGCCTCTATATTAAGACAACATTACATTTTGCACAACACAGACAACAAAAACTCCAACAATGTCACTAAAGCATGTCAGGCTCATTATCTCCCCTTCAAAGACATTACGATGGGACATAAGGTTGTTGCATATCACTTAAATCATAAAATTGATTCTCCCCACCCCACTATGTATGTTTTTTTCTGTAAGGCAGATGACAAATTAAAAAGCAATTCCCTTTTTGTCAACTTCTGAATATTCTGCTGAATAAATTTTCATGCAGCTGGACATAACAAAATACAGAATGTTAAGATTTTATTGATCTTCTACACTTAATGTGATACTCTGACTTAATCACCATAATACCCAGGGAAAACGGCATATACAGAATAAGCACTGTGTATAACCTGTATTTTATGATTTAATACACATTCCACTGATAGAATGAAGTTCACTAGACTACATTAGACAATATTTATTACAGGAATGAAAGAAGTCAAGTTTTGTATTTGATTACTGTACTATTATTAAATATGCCAATTTTGTACTAAAGATTTGTGTATAATACCATATTAAAAACAAACCTATGAATAAGGAATTCATAGGCCAAATTTGTTCCAGGAATAGGGGGAAGACAGTTCTGCAGCATGGCAGCATGTCTTTATACTGAATCTACTGCATTCTGAGAAGTATAGATACTATACAACATTCTGTGATTAAGGTGTGATAAAAAATAAAACCATAGATCTAGGATTTAAAAAACAATAATCATCAGTCTGCCATTATTTGCTACATATAGAGCACCTTTTTTAAGACAAAACAGAAATAGCTTTGTTATAGACCACAGAGGCTCAATGATTGGATCTGTGATGAAACCCAAGATGCCGAGAGGTTTGTCTGAACAGCTGATTTTGAAAAATTTATTTTACTTAAGCATGACTGGCTGGCTGTGCTCCAGAATTTGTAGGGCCCCCGAATTAAATGTATATGATATATGAGCACACAAACATCAAATTTACCCAGTTAGTCTAAGATTTTATTTCAGATTAAAGCATGCGGTTTCTGCTCAAAGTATTCTTACCTCTGTAGGTGAACTGGACAAAAATTCAGTAATAAATTTTATGGGAACAAAGGAAGAAAAACTGATACTCAAAGTCCTTTTGATGTGTTTGTTGCAGATAAATTACAGTGACTGCACTGACTGCTTCACAGAGCTTCAGGATCCGTAGAATGCCACACAAATTAGAGTCTTGGTGTTAACTGACAGCTCCTTTCCCACCCCCACAGAACTAAAAATATTAAGCTTGCTCTCTCTTTTTTCAATTTTTAAGAAACATTTGTTTTGCTGTACTTTTAAGAATTACAAATCGCCTATAAAATGTCTGTGCAGAACTGTTCATATAGCTTGCTCCGTTCATCAAGATCACCAGGAAATGTTGAACAAAATTTAATCTTTGCTTCTTTAGTATGAAGTATATCCTGTAACACAAGGTTGCCAATTAAGATGCAATGTAACATTTTTTAAAAAGCAATACTGGAGCTTAATATTCCCCAGGACCAGGACTGCTGAAAACGACACATCAAAACGCTAGTAACATACATTAGTTTTCATTCTTTTTAAAAAGTTCTGAACAGACTAGTGTCAAACACCGAACCACGTGTTTTGAGGGAAAGTTGCGGCCAAGTACGTGCAAAAAACTGTTCAGATTAAATCACAATATACCGAGGTGTCTGTCTCACTTGACTTTATCAACCTCGTTATTCCCTTTTACCAATGGTTATAAATGATCTATTAGCAGATCTAGTGCACGGCCTTGCACCGTTGAGTTAAGAACCGCCCCCAGCCAGACCTGGTGCGTCTGCACATTCAGATTCACCAGGTGAAGTTCAGCAAGCTGTCAAAGGCCAGGCCAGCCAGGTAGAAGGATAACCATCTTCCATTGTCACTACTCACACACAGTCCTCTGTACCTTAGGCTTCATGACAGCATACTACTCATTCGCACATTTTGGTTTGAAACCAGACTTTCTGATGTATTTTAACTGTATTTTCCTTCACGTTTTAAAAGACAATTTAAATCTGTTTTGCTAAGGAAAAGTGTTATTACCTTATTTATTCCCTGTAAACAGTCCAAGATCGTAAGATTGTACGTGCAGTTCCCAAATGAAGCATCCCTATAGATTTAATGCAAATGAATTTAATATACATGGAATTACTTTAAGAACTTGGGGAAAGGCAGCACACAACAGAGTATATTCTAGTAATTGAATCCCCTGTGAGAAATCTGAATTAAAGTTCAAAGAAGACATCCTTTTAGAAGCTTGCTCATGCTAAAGCACTCCCCTACCAAAGATGTAGCTCAGTGCAAATGCAGTCAGATACTGCAAATTATTTTAAGCGCATATTTTACATCGTCTAACTACATGCCCTTTACAAAATTATGTATGCTGCCCTGGAACAGGAAGCTTTGCATCCTATCTCAACGGTGTAAGTATAGTAGCAAATAAAGCTAAACTCGCTTTAACCATTATTCAAGTTTTAACTGAGTTACACTGTCTAACAAGGAAAGGCACATAAACTACTAGTGTGGATTTCATTCACAGGCTCTCATTCTATAGCCTGGTTACAGATGTGATTAAAAAATCTCCACATATAATTAAATTTAAAATTACTTGACCTCAGTTCTGCTACTCTGAAAATACCAATTTTTCTGTAAAAGATGACAGGATACCCCAAGGCAAAACATATCAAGTAGTAAGAGACACCAACATAAAAATAAATAACACCACCAAAAAATAACAGCAACAAATGTATTGTGGAAAAAAGAAAAAGTAGTTTGAAAAGTCTGCTTCAGACCAGTTTGCATTTTAACAAAATTTTGCCTGGGCAAATTATCACCTAATTACTCATTAAAGAAATCTTTTATAGTTTTGCTCTAAGCTACCTTATCCAGAATGCTAAGAACTGCAATTTGTCAGGATAGCAAAATTTTAGGTTTCAGCCAGATACATCTTTAATCTATAATTGATTCAAAGTTTCAATCTTTTATTGAAAACTTTCCTTTTTTGATAGTCTACTTGCTATAAGAAGATGGAAATTTGTTATATTGATATGCTCCTTCAATACGAAGTACTTTAAGAGTATAATATTCTCACCCATACTTTAAGAGCAGAATAAGTATGGCAGTTTTGAGGAACGAGTGTTCATAGAAAATGTTTTTCAGAAAATTAAAAGCTGTAATTTTGGTAGTGTCATATTACAGGAAGGCTACTCTAGAAAAGCTTTCAAGTTATTAGATTATTAAAAAAAATATTTAGGCACAATGTTTTAGAATGGGAACTTTAAAGTGTGAATAAATCTTCAATATCAAAATCCAACAAAATCCATAAAGTATTTTCATTACATTAGATAAGTAGAACATACCAAACCTGTAAAATATAAGCTTTACAGACAATACATTTTTGACAGGGGGGAAAGATTGGATAACAGGTGATTTTAGCAAACAAAAAGGTCTTATGAGCACAAAATCTGAAGGCCCCAATGGGAACACATGCATAGCAGAAAATCTTTAAAAGCTGTAACAGTTTTCTGAATGGGCTGATGGAAACAACAAAACCCAAAACAATGCAAACCACAAAATTAAGTATTTAGAGAAATATGAATGGAAAATATGATTGTACCAGACATGTTCTATATTATGTGTTATTTTGCTATAACAAGAATATAATTTTTATTTTACCTATATGTACATAACTACTTCTTCAACTGGTAGAGCATCTGATAATGCAGTACACAAAAACAATGCTGGGAAAAAAGCCACATAATCTCTAATCCATTAGTAAGCAGCGCTATGAGAGTGAGAGAGAGAAGGGAGAGAGGGAGGGAGGACATTGAACTTGACCTAGATGTACAAGATAAGCTTATCGCAATTCCAAGTATACAGTATTCTTAGCTACAGTTCCCACGGACAGCTATTACCAGTGGAATGAACATGGACACTGGCAGCTAACATCTATTGCCTACATCATCTGTGCCTCAAACGTCTCATTTCTGTTGCTGTGCACCTAACCATTAAAGTAGGTGTAGTCTGACTGGGGAAAACAGCTCTGCTGAGACTTGCCAACCACACACAGTGAAATAATAGAAAGACTGAAAGCCAGGAAAATTTCAAACAGGCAAAGTTCTGGAATGAACAAATTAAAAGCTGTTTAAACCTAATCCCAAATTCCCAGAAACTCAAAGAATAGCAATAGTCTGATTGTTTTTTTTTGTTTGTTTGTTTGTTTGTTTGTTTTAAAAGAAACACAACACACTGCAGTAACACCTGAAAAACTCACACCCCTATCTATCCTTTGTGGCAGAATATGACAATGTAATGAAACAATAACAAACACTAGATATGAATGACAGTACAGCATGGTAGTGAAATAACACCTGGAAGCAATGGTTTAGTATTACCTAATGCTTCAAGGGAAAGCATGATGTTTGATGAACGATGGCGAATACTGAGCGTATTATATCAGACCTTGCCATAATCTCTCCCTTTCTCTCCCTTTGCTCCTCAAGCATCTTCTGGTAAGAAAACAAGCAAATCATAAAAGTTCCTTTCATCGTAATTTGGAAAACAAGAAAGTGGAACAATATCTATGCAATTTTTTCCTTAAAGCCTCAGCCATTTTTATTTAGCACTCCCAATCCTTTTCAGGGTAAATCTAGGTATATATATGTATTTGCTTTTCTAGTTTCCGATGTACAGCCTGATTAGAATCAATTACAGATGCAAACCTATTGCTGAAACTTTACTGTTTTATGCTCCAGAATTTTAGGCCAAGGTATCCACAGGTATTAAATTTTTGGTGTAAGAACAAAGAAATTAATCTGGCAAAAGTTTTATATATAATCCATGAGGATTCTGTATGCTGGAACCATTAATACAGCAGAGAGATATCTGAAGTACAAGTAAGGCAAGTGCTTGTGGAATCAGTATTAGGAGATGAAACCCAAGTTACTAGTTTCAGAACACAGAGCAAGCAACAAAATGCACTTTACAGAACTCTTAATACTTAAAACAATATAAAAAACTAGTTTATTCATGAAGCAGAGTCACAGTGTACTTATGAAGTGACATTTTTTACATTCAATCTTCTTATCAAATAGATGATTTCATATTATTCCAGAGAAGTGTTAGTATTCCTTTAGAGTTTAGTCAAAGAGCATTTTGCAGAAGTATTAGAGAGGACAGATGCTTAATGCCAGTCTTACTGCCAACTACATGTCTAGAAAGGCCTTGAAATACTCAAAAGGCAAAGAGTAACAGTTTATCGTGACCTGATTTCCTGAACGTTTTAAGTAAATTACTAGAGTAGAGTATCTTTTTGTTTAGAGGAAGTTGTCTAAGTTATTTTAGGTCACTAATTATTTTGATTACTTTTTTGTTAAAAGCAAAACCAAACCAAATATCCCTTCCAGTCACCTAGAGGACTGCTTCCAGGCTGAGGCTGAGTTATCAAGTTCTTTTTCTAGCCCAGAGAAGTCAGTCAGAAGTCACATCAAATCATTAGGCAGCTTTGTAAATATTTTTTTTTTTTTTTAAATCATCTTATTTTCTGAATCCTTCCGAATGAATGCATTTTTCTGGAGAAAACTAAGTATTTAAAAACTAATGCAAATTGGCTAGTTTAATTTCACCATTCTTTGTGTCAAGCCATCTTCCTTCCTACTGATGTCTAAATTTCCAGACCATGGACAAAAATATTGGATACTGTCAGAACTAGTACTAATGTGTGCAAAAATCCTGTTAGAAATGCAGCTATTCTCATACTACATTGACTTGAGAAGTCAATTATATAGTGCTAGATTTACCAGCACGCATTTTCTTTATACCGATGCCAGATATATTTCAAAGTTTCAGAGCAATAATTAATAATATTAATTTTAGCTTGCATAAAATGCAATAGATTCTGAATGGGCCGCACTTTGTACCACAGTAAAGCCAAATACAAGCAGTAACATTTATCAGGAAAGGCACTGTAAAGAAAAAAATACATTTACTAACCTTGATTAATTTTACAGTAAATTAAAATTCATTCCAGACATTCTTCCTATTTAAACTTACTCTTTTTTGTCCACTGTACACAGTGAGCATCCTATCCTACAGAAAACTTATGCATGTGCTTACATTTAAGACAGTAGTAATTTTTAACTTACTGGAACTACCTACAAGTATACAAAAACATTTAGGTGTTTTTCCTGGTGGAAACCAAGCTATTTGGATTTCAAGTGTTATACCTTTTTGTTCAACTCGGAAGTCTGTGTTTAAAAAAGCACAGAAGAGAAAGGAAGATCCCATTTCATATCAGAATAATCAAACAGACTATATACAGACATCTCCTGCACAGTTTTACAGTGTGGTTACTCTGATTTCTGTTGCTGATCACATTTCACTACAGTATTCTCACAGTCTTTTATGGTGAAATGCATAACCTCCCTGACTTTCAAACACTGTTTTACCGACTATTACCTGATAGTACTCCATTTGCTTTCAAAATGAGAAAAACACGAATATTTCTATGAGATACAGATGTAGTATGAATCTGAGCCAGCATTACAGAGCTGCAAATCCCACATCTGATTTCACAGTTATTGTAGCTGACCTCAATACTGCATAACGCTTTCCCTTTCACCAAACCTCTAAACGCTGTCAATAGCAAAACAGTTTGTTTCCTGAGCACTTGCCAATAAATAAACCCCAAAAGCTACAAACTACAATCTAGCTCTGAAATTCATGTCATATCTAGAGATTGAACACAGTAACGCTAATATGTATTTTTTTCTCTTTAATATAAAGTCAATAGAGAGTAGTTTGAGGTAAAAATCTAAACCAGTTTCACAATAGGAAACTGGTATTTATGATGATTTAAAATGGTGTTAGCATCGTTTTGTTAAACAGAAGTGAGAAGATACAGCACAAGATCTTCAAGAGACTAGAGCATCACCAAGTGACAGTGAATCAGCCAAAAATAAGATGAAAGTGTCTCAAAGACAGTAGTGCCCTATCATCCTGCTTTGTCTTTAGTTTTTCTATTATCAAAACAAAAAACTTTCCACGTATCTTGTATGACGGTTATTTTGGTTTCCTTCCAGCCCTGAACAATATTTGCTGAAGCTGTCTTTAAATGAAATACCAGCTGAAGATGTAAGCCGATTAAGGTTTTTTGAGGTCACTGAGCTAGCTGAAAGTAGATCAGTTTCCCAGTGATCACTTCATGTAAACATACCTCAGTACTCCATAAAGAATCTGACAATCCTGCAGCTTCTCCCTTTTGAAAGCTATTTTTTTTTCTAAATAGAAGACACTTCAGCCACCAAATTAACAAACTTGTTAAATAATCTAGCTGTAACGCTTATCGTTGCTCACTAATAAACTCTTGCACTTCAAACTATTCAAATGGAGATGACTTATACTACAGAAATTATATAATATCTATGTTTCAGGCTCAAAGAATAAATGTAAGTCAATAAGTACTGAATACCAATGATTATTACCTCAAATTATTTCCTTCCTAGACCTTAGAATAGGAGGAAAGAGGTAGGACATTTGGGTTACGTTTTTCATTGTACAGAAGAGTCATTTCAGTCCTTTTCAAGAAACTAAGGATGTGGAAGGAGTGCAAACTTTCTCATAGCACCAACCTGTTTCTTCACAGTATAGCTTGATGCTAAGCAGATATACTACCTAAGGCAGTGCTACTGCTTCCAGCACAGGTTCATTTGCCTGAGCCTCTGCATCATGCTGTATTTTGTACCAGAGATGTCTCCAATGTCTTAGAAAGGACAGAGGGAGAAAATAATCGCAAAGGCCTTGGAAAACCAGGGAAGGAGGAATAAATTATTTATTCTCCATTCCCAGCTAATCTAGATTGTCCCACTGCAGGCCCTCATCAGATATACTTGCCCTTCTCTCAGCCTCAGTAATTCTTAAGCTCCTTAAGTATCTATTCCAGCCTCTTCCTATGAATTCAACTCCCAAATAGCCCCTTTCTATCAGACTACCCATTTTTTACCTAGTCTCCTATCTTGGCAGAATCCTTCAGTTTATTTCCTCACTCCTCTTTGTCTCACCTCCCACACAGCTAGATTACACAGCCTTCTTTCCCAGCAGGACAAACTATACCACAGGTAACAGAATCTGCTTAGGCTCTAATCCAGTGCCAACACCTGACACAGTCCAAAGCAGCTCCAAATGAAATTTAAGTGCTCTCCAGCCCCACGCCATATAAGAAAAAACACTCAAGAAATCAAGATGTTAAATGCTTCTAGCAAAATCTTGTAACGCTATACTCCTTCAAGAAACAGCGAGGCTTTCCTCAAGAAGATTGCCTCCCTCCCATCCTCTAAAATAGCCAAAGCTTTGTGTTAAAACAAAACAACAACAAAAACAACCAACACAAACCCCACCAAAACCCAACCACACCACAGAAAACCCACCACAAAAACCCACAAGCTCCCAAAAATGCTTTAGTTTTAGCCAATCATTTATCCCCAACAATTCAGCACTTGAAACACCCGGACAAAGACTGCAGAGAAGTTATGTTTCAAAAGACTGCTTACTCTATACATTTATTGCCCTCTTCTCTTGAAGCTGACAAACAGAATGAAGTAATTATACTTTTGCAACCATTGTGACAGCCCAGACTGCAAAAACTGTGCAGTCCCTTTGCTGGCCATTGCCTCCTTCAATGTTTTCAGTTAGCATTCTCTCCCCTGGGAAACGTAAAATGCTCTATATATATAATATAAAGCCATCTTCAGAAACTCTTGCCATTTCTTGTATTTTTTGACCCCTCCTTTGCTGATCCCAGAGTAGCTAACTATTTTATTTTGGAAGAGAATTTTATTAATTCAGACTCAAAAGGATTTGCTTTGAATAATTATTTAAATTAAAAGGAAATTGTTTCATGTCACTAAATTTGTTACTGTGGTTCTTATCAGCCTCACAAGAAATCAAAGAGCCAATTACTTTCACTATGTCCTACCAGTCAAGCAGAAATAGTGTTTTCTATTATTATTACTATCATCATCATTATTATAAGGAATTAATTGGAAAGCAAAGATCTGTAGCCTTTGTTTTGAGCAAATAGGGTCGTATGAGACTGTTCTGCAAATACACTATTCCTTACAAGTTTTCTGTCTTACAACTTTGGGATCTGACAACTAAGGTCCTTTACTTTGTCAGAACCTCTTTTCCACACACCTTAATCTTTACTTTGGCTGGGGAGAAGGAACATAAAGACATAGCAATTTACTATAATTCCAAACAGTATTTTTTTTATAATTGGTGAACAAGATACAGCTATTCTCAGCTAACATACATCCTCCACTAAGAGAGTTTTGCTTTTTAAGCAAGTTTTGGATAAACTAAGCTTAAGATTCTGAAAATTTTACGTCACTTCAGAATTAAAAGCTCCTATATGTAAGAAATACTCCTGCCAAAGTTGAACCACTGAGAATTTGATATGAAAGGGAGAATTATTATTTTTTTTTTTAGACTCCACTAAAACGCTGCGTAGTAATCCCCAAAAGGAAGCGAAATATTGCAGGGAAATATTTCACTTGTTGCTTGCCCAAAGTGATAAGGAGACAGAAGAACGCACTGTCACTCTTTCTGCGCTCAGAATAATAGAGTTTGCTTCAAAGAACTTCTTGTAGCAATTTTTCAATAGCTGAATCTTCTGTGAACAGAAAGGACTAAAGTAATTCTTTCAAACTGGGAGAAGATGAGGAACCGAAGAATCTAAAAGATGCAGAAAACTATACATTATTTTTTAACTTAGATCATCACACCTGTATTTTATGTAGAATTTGGAGATGTTAAAAAACACTGACATGTTTAAAATAACTGATTTTTTTAATGCATCGTACCAATTATCTTTTATAATTAGCTGAAAAAAGTATGGGTAACAATGGCTCAAAAAAACTATTGGGCTTTGGTGAGCTATTGATGACCAGGTGAATGTATAAACTCTCTGCCAATAAAAGCTATCACTACTTTGATACCATTTTTAAAATGTGTTTGATGGTTTAAGATTTCGAAGTCAAACTGGTCTTCACATACAAATCTACCATCCCAACAGTTCATACTGTGTCTGGCTCCTGTACAAACTGTGAGAAGACAGACAATCTGATCTTCCTTTGCTGAGTGGCTGTAGAATCAGATGAATTTGATACAGTCAAGGTAGGCAGGTCTACATTTACAAATGCATCGGCTGATAGTGAACACTACTTGTAAAACACTGACTCCCCTAAAAAAGAGGACAGTGACCTTCTTGAAGTTGCCTTTCATCGCCAGCGTTTCCATAAGAATAGTGTAAGGTATTTAGATTCACAAAGTCCAAGGGCATTTCATGGTCCACACCATGAAAACTTCTGGAATTCTCTTTATTAGATAGGCATGATAGCTAAAACTCCTCAGATTCAAGTTTCAGTATGGCCTTAATATAGAGAATAAAGACAGATTGATAGAAATTATCTATGATTCATTGAAAACAGAAAGTAAACAAAGCAATCTAGTAACTGGAACATTAGTACTTGTTCTGTAAAATAGAGAAAATATAACAGCGTAAACCCTCTTTCATTTCAGAGCTGGTTAGGTACCAGGTAATTTAAAAGATCTGAATGACTTCCAAATAGTAAAGCACAATACATCATACAGAAAAGTTTTAATTGCTATATCACAAACATGCTAAGAGCTATTTTCTAACCTTGACAGTTTGCAAGACTGGGAGTGTTACTTGAAACTTAAATCAATTGAAATGGCTTTATTATTCCAACACAGAGCAAGTAATTCCACCAGATGTAAAAAATACTTTTTCTGGAGATCAGTCATTTTGATACAACATCTATATCAGACACAAAATCCTTTTCTGGGATGGCAATCTGAAAAATTTATATTTAGCAAATTCCAAAACACAAAAGTTAGGTCCATTTCTCATGTTCACATACCTAAATGGAAGATATGGTGGATTAGATCCAGACAGAAGTGTTCTGTAAGCTTCTTCTGGAGTTTTCTTCAAGTATATTACCTACAGGGGGTGGGGGAGAGGAAAAAAAAAAAAAAAAGCCCTGAGCCTGAGAAGTCATTAACTACATGTACACTTCCCCCATCCCACCAAACCCTTAAAAAACGCATACAATACTCCTTTATAACCGAATCCAGTGACATTTATAGGTCAGAAAAGACATATCTACACAAAGTAAAAGATTCAGAAATCAGAAGAAACAGATTTGTTTTGTGTCATTCCTCCCTTAAAAAAAAAAAAAATAAAAAAATCACACATTCCTGCAACTGAGAGAATTTATGACAGACTCAACATTGTACTAAAATGAAAAATTGGCACCTACGCTAAGAGTTCTCTGTCCAGCTTTAAATGAGTCAAAATACTATCACGGCAGCTGACAAAGGAAACATTTCTCCACCACAACTCAATGGAAGATTTTCCAAGACAAATATTTTTTGATTCCTAATTGTCAATATCAAACTACTAATTAACAAAAATATCCAATTCAACAAGTTGAACCTGTTACTATGAGACCAACATATAGTTAATGTAACACCCTAAACCAAGGCTCATTCTGCTATCGCTGAACTCTATCAGCTCAGCTTACTTGCTTAAGTAAGAAATTAAAATACAAACACATCTTGTTGCATTTCAATTCCTATTTGTACAGTAAAACTGGTCCTAAAATAAATTTAACTCTGAATACATATTAAGCAAGTGCATTATTTACAAAAAAATATTTAAATCCAGTTTGCAGTGGTATATTCCACATGCGCAAACATGTTCTGTAAACAAAGCCACGCAACTTCCCCACAACTCACCTTGCAACCAACATCTACGTGGCTACATTTTAGCTCTACACACATTTAACTGCTGAATATAAGTATTCTAATAATTATTTTCTTACGAAGACATAAGCTAGATCCTGATCTAAAAGCTTTATTCAACTTTTGACCTTGAACACATTAGAATATAGGTAAGTCGTAGTCACTCCCAGAATATTTGCCATTTGCTTTATATCTGGAGTCATATCTTGAGTAAATGGGATTCTTAGTATTCTGTAAGATGTCAATATGATAGGTAGATTTTCTTGCATTTCTTCCTCAAACATGGGCGAGGCAGTCACAAAGGACAAGATAAGGATAAAACAACAAAAACAAGAAAAGACTCAAGTAAAACAGTTTGAAAAACTCTTTGCCATGATGCAATGAACAAAGAGATCATCTCTGTTTTTCAACTACCACCTATTTCACTGCTTTGAACAACTGGTCTAATTTTGGACCAAAACCCTTTACACAAACTGATTTGCCTTCAAAAGATAAATTCCCTGACACATAGCTGTATTTCAGTCTCAGCCTCCAATGTTGCTGCTCCACTCATCACGGTCACGCTGGTAGCATGGATCAGTATTATCAGTACCCAAGAAGAGGAACAAACCCCACTTATCTTCAAATGTTAAATCTCAATACTGTGGCAATGTCAATATTGCTGTTGCATTTAGCAAGTGCCCAAATTACGTGTTTCTCAAAATTAATGACACTGTATTTGCCCAAACTTCCATATTCCCCCCTCCTTAACCTCTGAAAGCAAATGCTTCCTGAAACTTTCCACTACCAAAACAGACCACAATTTCTATATGAAAACCATTCCATTTATTCTGTGTTATCAGAACAATTGTTTCTAACTCAATTATTTCTAACTCTTTTTTGTTGGGGCAAAACCAGTAATTACTAATATTGAAATGGATTCAGAGATTTATTTAATGGATATATGTATTTACTTGATTTAAAAAGTGGAGGGGCCTATTTCTTTTTATTTTTAAGCTGCAATGGTCTGTCTACAGCAATGATTGCTAACTAATGTCACCAACTTCATGCTTTCAACCCCTGTAGCATGGCAATGCTATTCTGTTTTCACAGTCATTTGTAAAAGATTCTTTTAGTCTGTGAAAGTCTCTTTTATATTTCCTTTATAGTCCCCCCTCATCACAAATTTAAGAACAAGGCATCCTGTGCAATAGATTTTGGTGTGGGGGGTTGTATTTCAGAGGAAATACTGATTTTATTCAGGTCAATTAATGTCAATTATGACATCGATTAGCTTACATTTAAAGCCTAAATTCCTGCTTATAGTCAAAAAGCCCTTAGAGGGTAGTTTAAAGGACTTTAGGGAAAGATGAGTTTCCATCTTACACAGCAAGGAGTCAGAAATCTGAAGTAGGGGCAAATTTGTACCATATGAATGTTTTCCCAATGCTGCAGTTTTTATTTCACAGAAGTTATGGTACTTCAAAGCTGTGTCTGCTCAAAGACATGTATACATGACATTTTGAACCAAATACTGATAAGTTGCCTGTCCACAAAGCTCATAAAAGCTCACAATAAAGACACCAGGATGGAAATAGGAAAAAGATATTAAGAACACGAAAGAAAAAATGAGAGGGAAAGAAACACTCAACAGAGCTCCTGAAAAAAACAAAAGTATCACAGATGTCAAGAATAACACAATAACTGAAGGAAGAAGGATAATGAAATAGAGAAGGAAACACTCCTGTAGTGTGTTTAGTACTTAAAAAGTAGCTGTTATCCATTAAGAAAAACCCAGGAGACTGTCTTCTGACTCATCTTTATAAATGAAAACTCAGCAACTGAAACTTAGCTTCATTTTTTAATCCAATATGGTGAGTCTTCAGAGTGCTTTCATTCCACAACTTACACCAAAAAAAAAAACCAACCAAACCCACCACAAAGAGCCTTTAGTGAATAGTTTGTATAAATTGAACCTGGATCTAAGAAATAATGTAAGAACCTAAAAAAAAAACAACAACTCACTTTCTAGATAGTAACTATTTTCTTATAAGAGTTGCTATACAAGGGACAAGGTTCTCCCTCTCCCCACTGTCACTATTCTAACTCATAACATGTGGCACTGATACCTGTAAAAACCAGTCAACAGATACTGAAAATTTTCAAATATTTTTTTCTCTGACATGTCCATTCTTATGTTCTTAAATTCCTGTGGTTGAAAGACAAAGCTCTTCATAGTTGGGATGCTATGCAGGCACAAGACATGTAGCAATACTGGCCCTGTACACACTGCCAAGAAAATTCATACTATATGTCCTAAAAAGCTAACAGAACAAAAATGGAGTTAGTATTTTGAAAGTCCACCTTAACACTCATCCACAATATTTCAAATACAATTTGGATTAATCTTGTTCCCACCTGCACATGCCATTTTTGAATTAGAAGTATGTGGAACAGATCCACTCTAGAGCTGCTAAGTCCTCAGAAGAATTCTGTGAAGCCAATGTAAGGAAATCTGAAGAAAGCTGTAGCTTTAAACAGCAAAGAGGCTGTACACGCTGCAGTAACTGAAAAGACTTTGTCCTTGCTGACCCTCCAAGGGAGGGATCATGGATTTGCAGTAGTGTGATATGCTTAGACTACAAGAGAATAAACTCTTCAAAGTTCAGGTAGGGCTCAGAAGTCTAATCTGTATTTGTAAATTAGGGAAAAACACTCCTGCAAGCAAATGACTGAACATACTGTAGTAATTTGCTATTACTCAGTCATTTGCTGTGATAATTACAAACTTAACAACTCAATGGCTTTTCTCCCTTATTTGTGTTACAGAAGTCTAATAAAAGCTATTACTACCAAAATAAACACTTAAAGTAATTGTGAGAAAGAAGTAAGCCCAGCCCATCTGCTATCTACAAGGAAAAGGAAAGAGAGCTCAGAATCTTTTCAGATTTTGTCACAGTATGAAAGCATTATGTTTCACCAGGACTGCTCAGAAGTCAGATTTTGGTCCACTAATCAAGTTTTGATCTTTGAAGAACTGCAAGAGATAACTACTACTTGTCTGCTACAAGGGTAAAATTAAAGCTCTAGGTTTACCAGCAGGAGCAAGTGTCACACATATATTCTCTCTTCCCCCTGCCCCTCGAAGTACAAAAGCAGTCACTGGTACAAACAGACTACTATTGATCCTGCTCTTCTCCCCCAGTGAATTCAAACCTTACTAGATAGCAGAGTACACAACCAGGTAGGGGTTCCTTGGTTTCCAACCAGAAAAGAAACATAACAAATAGCGTAAGAATATGGAAAGAGGCACCCAGCCCCAAATTCATCCAGGTGTTATCAGACAGGACAAAACACACTCTCCTTCACAATTTCTCCAAGAATGAATTCTTTGATGACAAGTGGGGAGTTCATGTAATCACTTCAGTATATTTCAGTTAAACCTACTCCCTTCTCACCCCTCTTTCCCCCTAGAAACTACTAGGGACAAACTGAGTCAAACCAGGCTACTTTAGTTTTGGTATGCATGAAAGTACTGGTAATACTATTTAAAAAATGTTTCTAAAGATTTTTTTTTTTTAAATTAACTGTTGTGGGAGACTACATAAAAAACCCCAACAACTAAAATAAGTCTGCAGATGAAGGGAAAAGCAAAGCAATACTAGCTTCAAAATATTCTTTGTGGCACCTGGTAAGACTTTGCAAAACCTAGTAGCACCCTGTTTCTGACATTAGTGTAACAGTCTGTGTTGTAGTCTTGGCCATTTAGAAGGAACCCTAAATTTCTCTGTAAGATCAGCAAAGTCTGTGTGTTCTTCTTTTCTTGTAACACTTTAAATATTTTTTTTTCTTCTTAATCTGAACTTTATGACAGAAGTAATCTTTGCAGAATTCCTAAGAGCAAGGACAATAATTTAGCAACTGGACATGATTAGCCCAAATGTATTGGAAGTCCATTGTAAAACCAAAATTTAGAAAACATCTTCCTGAGATGCAATTTACAAACAGGCAAACTATTGCCAATAAAGTTCTAAGACTTAACTTTCATTTAAACTTATGAGTCTCTTATTGAATTATTTTAATAGCTATAGGGTATTTCATTTCAACATCTCTAAGAAGCTGTTTAATGGAACAGCCCAAATTGCATAATCACCACTGGAAACCCACTCCTAGAACCTGATCCACTGTTTTCCACGTTTCATTTTACACTGAATATTTTAACACCAGGAAAAATAAAACAAGCCTTCTCAATTAACTTTTACACATTGACAATGTGAAAGATTTTTAAAATCTGAACTTATTCCCATTTTTTCCCCATCTTTAAATTTACATAGATCTTCTTTCTCAAGAGCATTTACACACTATCGCCATACTTGCAGTAAAACATTTTGTTTAATTACAAGAATCTGCAAACTAAATTCTTTCAATATTATCATCTGCATTTACTAAGCTTTGTTTTCAGCATAACCTCAGACCTGGAAGAAATATACCAGCTTTCACACAGTATAAAGCCTGACTTTGTAACAGAGACTTCCAGAACTCAGCTGACCATGTGGATGTCAGCAGAGGACCAGCAGCTTCTTAGCTTCAATACTTTATCGGCGTCTTTATCGCAAAGACTCTGAGTTTTCTGCAAGCGTGCTCCAATTCTGGACAGCAGAGTAGGAAGGTGAAATTGAAGTTTGAGCTACACTGCTAAGACAGACACACGAGTGGCTGTGCAAGTGTCAGCCTGGGACTGTCAAAACTTCGGTGATATCATAACAAATTAGGCTTGTGTAACTAAGACAGCCCTGTGTATTGTTTATTATCTGTAATATTAAAAGAATTAAATGAAAATCTGCCTGCCTACCTCCCTAAAGAACCATCTGTTCAGATGCTATTTTACACATAGCAAATATCTCTTACAGAGGGTTAGAAGTATCCATATAATTAATAATACTTACAGCATATGCACCTATTAAAAACGCCGCATTTGCTCGTTTTCGCTGGTCAAAACTGGTGTAGTACACTATCTTCTTTCTTGATAGACTGAAATACTGTTTAAAAAAAAAACAACAGACAGCATATTTACCAAGAGAATAATACACTTTAAAAATACTTTTAAAAGTCACTTTTCCAAAACTGAAAAGTAACTCAGAAAAATTTCTTATAGAGATTCTTAAAATGAAAGGAGAAAAAGAATTACTGATACCATGAACAATCTTCTTACGTTATAGATAAGAGCACAGGGAAACAGCCACTGTATCAGGGCAGATCTCTTAACTTTGCTGTGTGAATATATCCTATAAAATGCAGTTGAACCAAAATGTTCAACATAAATTACTGGAAATTTTTTTCCAAGTTTAAATATTTGAACAATAGCTTACGAACGTTGATAAAAGATATTGAAATTTTCAGACTAAAACACTCTCCTATGTGTTAAATTTCTTTAGCATATAATCCTGTGGAGAAGACGAGAAAAACTGAAGCAATCAATCTTACAGGCATTTTGTAAGTTAAACACCACTGGTCCATCTATACTACCTAAAAATGGGGTGGCAGGCATCTTAATAAATTTTTGCTGTTGAAGCTTTTTAAAGAAAAAAAACCACGATTGCAGAAGTGAAAAGCCTGAAAAAAAAGGCTAGGCAGAAACAAAACTACTAACACTGGCAATTCTTCTTTCTTTATGAAGAAAAGAAGCCTCTGTCAGAATCCTGCAGACAAAACTCCCATTGAAAACAAGACCAACAAGCGCCAGCAAAGAACAATAATGACAAAGTGCAGCAAAACTATTTAAAGCCAGAGAGAGATAAAATTGTAACTTAAAAATGGCAAGTTGGACGGTTTACTGCATTATATTTTTTTAGCTTCATAAATCGCTACACTTTCATTATATTCTGCAATGCTATCACTCATGTTTTTCCCGACAGATTTCTACAGTACTGCTACAGTTTTGAGGAAGTCATTAACAGACATACTGGATTCTGCTTAATATCTGAAGAGCATTTTTATTTTTAAAAGTTGCACATTTTATAAATTGCCTTTATACCAGTACTGCTGTTATCCAATTTCAGGTTTTTAACTCCAATTTGACAATTTTAATTTACTTCACTTTCCTACTCTTGGCACTGATGACACTTGGAAGTGCAAGAAAAGGTAACTACTGCAGAATTGTGTTTTATTTATTTAAGTAGTGCCAACTGTATTTCACTTCCACAAATCTGTGAACGTTGACTCTCATCTTAAAACTTGTTGCAAGTTTTAGGACAGCTTTAACCACAGAATCAAATTTTGCAAAAAAAACCCCACATAGCCAATAAACTCAAGAGAAAACTGATGCATGCATCACAGTGCACATCTTACTCCCACCCCCCACAGAAATAGCACCTTTAATAGCAGTTCTAACCGTACATTCTGGTCTGGTCTTATTACCCACAACTTCCATAGGCGGAAGGAGTGAGAGTCAATGCAACTTAGTATGTCTAAACAGAACTGTAATTCCCGAGATAGCTGGTTGCTGTTGATTGGAAGCGACTGTATCTTGAGACCAACAGCATTATCTCCCTCAGTGCATATGCAAACATACAAAGCACAAGTAGTTATTTAATTAGCGAAGCATTCAATTATTATTAAAACTTGACAAAATTCATCGCAGTATTTCAAGATGCCTCCTTTCTTCCCCCTCCTCAATTTTTTAATTTTAGTGTTCTCTAACTGCAATTCCACCCATGATGTGTAGGTGGGATACGATTACAGTAGTTATGCAACAGTGACAGAACTTCAATTATAACTTGTTGACTACTACTTATTTTAAAGCAAAGTTCTTTGCAACAGTTTACAGTTCACCTGAAACACTATTTTAAACTGCATAAAGCACATTCTGCTAGCTAGCCAGAAGTTCTAAGTAGTAAGACCATATTTCTTGTTTTGTTTTACAGAATGGATTTTTTTAGTCATACAGGTGTATCAAGCCATTCCAATTCTGAGATGCTTTTGTACCTGAAGTAGCCAAAAACTGACAACTCATCTTAAAAGTTCCCAGAACATTTAAATGAAAGCAATATATCATTTTCATGGCTTCATTTGCAAAATGTAAGGGCTTAATCCTTATAAGCAATATTGCTATATGAAATATTTAATTTTTTTTTGAATCCTGACTAAAGTTTTAACACAAAATTGAAAACCGACATTAATTAACAGCTTACAACATAGCAGCCAAAGGAAAACTGTGTCAAGATTCTACTTTTCAGAAGCCTGTAAAACAAACCACTGTTTTTATTTGCACGTGAGTTACAGAAAATCAATTTTTACAGTAACAGTTTGCATTGTCAATACAATGCCTCTGTTAACATTAACACACAAATTCTCAACTCAATGCACTTTCAATATTAATACTAAGCTATATGATCTACATGAAAAAAAATACTCATTTTCTGAACATGTTTAATAAGCTAAGTCTCTTCCTTTGGCTAGGTTCAATGATAATAAGCGTTACAGACAGTTCTTTAAGGTGGCTGTTTTCACAGCTCCACCTGAATGTATTAGGGCTTTAGTTCCCGTAGATACTGCACAACTCGGAAGAACCAAAAATGTTTCAACAAGGAATTTTTCAATACTAGTTGTCTGCAGAATAGCTATATTTAGAGATAATATAGTAACATAGTTGCAAATAACATTTTTTCTAAAACAAAACGCAGCACTATGAAGCACTAAAAATATTTTTTTGGCAGCTTCACACACTATTAGAAGACAAAATGTAACAACATGACAGAACTGTATCTGTCAAGATATACCCCAGAGGAATACACTCAAGGACAATCTATTGAACTAAAAGCAGAGGTTACATGAAAAGTGTGGCAGGTTTTGTTTAAGGTGATAACACTAATGCATTGAGTGTATGAGAGGGTTCCAGAACACATTATTTTCACTGCGAGATTACTTTTTTTTTTTTTCCCCTTTTAATAATAGATTAGTTCTTGTTTCTTGAAGACCTCAAGAGAGACTTACTTGCACAGAAGCTTATGACAGGCTTAGAAGGTGCCATTGTGGACAATTACTAGATTGATATCTGTTTAGAATCACCAGATTATTTGACAGTATTTTGTTTAATGGATATGGTTTAATATATTTGCGTTGTTCAAGCAAGAAATTACTGGAATGTGTTTAATAAGTCTGGGCCAATGCAAACACTATTTTTTATATATATGCATATATGTTTGCAATACGTACATATACATAGCAGTGAAAACAAGGCTGGCAAACTGTTCATAGAAAATGATGTATTAAAACACGTACACGCAACCTGCCTCAAAAACTAAGCTGTCCTAAAGGAGATGCTTGCAATTACTATAGTTCCATATGTATGCCCAGCAGTTTATTTATATTAAAACAAAAACAAAACAAACCCCTCTGTGATTCAGCAGCTACAGTTAGCATACAAGAAATGTTAACTCCATAAGCCTTGCAGAACCCTCCCTCTCTTGCCTTTGATCTTCCATACTTGTATCACTTATCTTAGCACACTCCCTCTCTGATCACCCCTGCTTTTGAAGTTATTGAGATTCCGTAAGTCTATACACACATAAGACGCACCAGCTTTTTTAAGCAGTTTTTATGAAATCAGATTTATTTAAACAGAAGAAAAAAATATTTCTTTCATAAATGAATCACAGTTGCTTAGTCAAGCTTTTTTTTTCCCTCAAACAGAATTCAAAGAACAAGTAGGAAGATAGCATTGACAAGCATTTTTTCTTTCTGTTGACTTGGCTAGTCAAGCTCATCTCCATAGCAATCAGCAATCAAAACATTACAAACATAACAAGGTCAGAAAGGTTTTCCTGTAAAGCATATCCAGGATTTTAGTTCCAACTTTCTCAGCAAATGGATATCTCAATAAATTCTTCAGCTCTTCAAAACAGAGCTACTTACTGTTTTTAAAATCAGTCAGCATAAAGTTACAATAGTTTACTTTAAAGTGTTGGTCTGCCACTAGCACATTTCAAACTGGTACCCTTCTCCTTCCCTATCTGTACCCCAAGAAAGGAGAGGGGAAAGCAGAAAACTGCCTCCATGTCCAATTCCTCTCCCAAAACAGAAATAGATACAGCTGAAAGACTTGGAGAAGTCTGTAGGGTTTGTTTGTTTTAATTAGATCTTATACTCTCATTTCTCCTGTTCCTATTCATACAGGTTTTAAACTTAATAAAAGTCTAAGTCTTAAAATCCTTTTGAGACACCATATCCACACAAAAGCTATCATGTTTTGTGAACATTTTTGGTTGGTTGGTTTTGTTTTTTTTGTTTTTGTGTGTTTTTTTTTTTTTTTTTTTTTTTTTTTTTTTTTTTTTTTTTTTTTTTTTTTATGTGCCACACTTTTAAAGATTTTTTTCTGAAGAAAAACACACGAAGTGCATACCCAACCAGGTATATAAGAAATCATGGCAGGAGTCACCTAGTCTTAAGCACTGTGACTGCCTCAGGGTCCCAAAAGTGTTGCAGTATGGCAACAGCAACCATCCCGCAGCAGTGGCTGGATTTCCAGAGAATGACAATCAGCCCATTCTTGCTGTTGGTCACAGGGCACAGTTACCCTTAATACAAGGGTATGCAAGCAGCAGGTTGCCCAACAGGACTCCTTCTCCTTGTCATTAGTCCAATCAGCACTTCCCATCTCTGAAACACTGATCACAGTCTGCCTACAGCATCCCCCCGGTGCCATGTGAGAATTACCATACTTTTGCTGCTGCAGCTGCTCATTGCCTTGCTAGGTAAGTCACAGGTTGTGAACTTTGGTCTTATACACACCAGTTCAGGCCTTGTGGGGACACTTGTGAAAGACATAAGAAGGTAAGGGGTAGAAGGGTAGAAACTGTGAACCCATAATTCTCAACTAGTGAAGATGAGCAATAGTCTTTTGTAGCTAGGCCTACAGTACACATCAGATGCATGCCTCAGCCCTGGGACTTGGTCTTTCAAGCCTACTTATCCACTGCAGATAGTATCTAAATTAGGACAGAGTTGGGCATTTATTTTAACTATTAGAAGAGCAAAGCTTACATTAGCAGGTATTGGCCTACTTCAGGGGTAGTACCACTCAGCCAGACTGGAATCTATGCATGTGTAAGTTTCGATACCACTCAGGTGGTATTCCAAGCTTTAGCTGTTTGATTCCAGGTATTACTTTCAAGTGGTTGCACTATCAGGTTACCCTTTTCTATTATGCACAAGTAGTTTAAATTAACCTATTTGAAGTTAGCCTCTGGTAAGGTAGCAGCAACAAAATGCACCTCCTCCCAGCTGAGACTACAGCTGATCTGCATAAGGTTTCTCTGTCCTGTTCCTGACTACCTGTGCTCTTTACCTAGTACTGCAAGTGTGTCTGCTTTTTTTTCAAAATAATATAAATAAAAGTTACATTAAAATGATGACATGGTTTGCTAAATCAACCTTTCAAGTGTCAGAGTTACTAATTCAGTTTCAATTTGGCTCCCTTGTGTACTTTTTTCCATTATATATGATCTTTATGATTACAAGCCATTTATGATGAGCAACTTGCCTCATTCAATGCAATGATGGTCTTATAACAAGAATAAAGACTGCAGAGACATTCCTGTTTAATACTGATTCATTTAAGCAAAAAAACCCCATGAGTCCTAAGGTATTTAGACCTAGTTTTGCTCGTATTTCCTGGGTCCAACTCTTCGTACCCAGAAGGCCAACCGCATCCTGGGCTGCATCAAAAGAAGTGTTGCCAGCAGGTCAAAGGAAGTGATTCTGCCCCTCTACTCCACTCTCATGAGAGCCCACCTGGAGTACTGCATCCAGCTCTCAAGTCCCCAATATAAGAAGGACATGGACCTGCTGGAGTGTGCCCAGAGGAGGGCCACGAGGATGATCCAAGGGCTGGAGTACCTCTCCTATGAGGAGAGGCTGAGAGAGTTGGGGCTGCTCAGCCTAGAGATGAGAAGGCTCCAAGGAGATCTTAGTGCGGCCTTCCAGTACCTAAAGGGGGCCTACAAGAGAGCTGGGGAAGGACTTTTTACTAGGGTGTGTAGTGATAGGATGAGGGGGAATGGCTTTAAACTGGCAGAGGGCAGGTTTAGATTAAACATTAGGAAGAAATTTTTCACTTTGAGGGTTGCAAGGCACTGAAACAGGTTGCCCAGAGAGGTTGTTGAGGCCCCATCTGTGGAGGTGTTCAAGTGCAGGCTGGATATGGCCTTGGGCAACCTGGTCTAGTGGGAGGTGTCCCTGCCCATGGCAAGGGGGTTGGAACTCTATGATCTTCAAGGTCCTTTCCAACCTAAACCATTCTATGATACCCAGGGTCCAGTTTGAAGGTGTTCTAGTTCAATTATAGAAGTATGAAGGTAGACTTCAACAGTGTTACACAAGACTGTATTGAGATCCCAGAATGATCATAGTCTCAATTTGAATCTAGAAAAAACAGAACTAATGTTTCTTGTTCTCATAGGCACAGTGAAAGTTAGGTTTATTATTGGTTCTCTGGAGTAACCACTTCACAGAGCAAGCATTCTCTACTGTCTTTAATAACTCAGATATAAGGTCACAAACAGCAGAATTTAGGTGAAAAAAATAGATTTCTAGTGAGTGAGCATCACTGGTCATGTGTTTGAGTGGGACAGCAGCACGGGAAAATGGGGTGATAAGATAGTGTATTTATAAGCTCTATTCAGTCTTAACACAGAAATGGTAAATCCAGTCTTTTGCCAATATGAACATAGGCATTCAAAATTAGAAATACTAGAGTTTATTTTTTATTTATAACTAATTTTCTGTATTAAGCAGCAAGGTATTGTTATCTTCAGAACTACCTGTTGCATTTACAGATTCTAGACAACTTTATAAAGAAAGGACCAACACTTTGAAGTTGAAAGAAAAAGCTACTGTGGTATCCAAAGATGATACCAAAATTTTCTATCTCCAGTTAAAAGCAACTCAAAATTGCCTTCAATCAACAACCATTATATGGAAGCAAGAAAACAAGAAAGCTTCTACAAATGAACTGATAGGGAGTGACTCTTCAAGCAAGACAGGAAAAGGAACCATTTTTATATGTAAACACACATTTTCATAACACCTATTATAAGTAACATTTTATTAACTGAATGAGATTTAGAAGTTTTAACTTTCCCACTGAGTGAGATTTAGTTTAAATAGTGCAATTTTGGGGGCTGTGTTTTGTTCTTTTTCATGGGTGTGGGGTTTTTTGTTTGGTTGGGTTTTTTAACATGCTTTTTCAGTTATTTATACTAGCATACCTGCTTTGTTAGCTGCAAACCCATGAAACACCCAGAATTATTTTTGTTACAATTGTCTTGAAACTGTAAGGTTATGAAAAAAAGGTGAACACATCCTTCAGTGCCTCACCTGCTAAGCAACAAAGACCATATTCATTTTTTCCATTCCTCAGAAGGAAAAGAATTGAGAACAAAGAATAACCTTAAAGTTTAGTAGTAACCACCTAGATGATGAGGACCTAAGAACCACTTTCAAACTGGATAATACATTTTAGTTTAATTTCAAACCACAAAAATATAGGTACATTGTTTTTAAACAAAGCTTACCTTTAATTTCTTATTTAGTTTACAGCAGTATCTGTATAACATTGCCAAATTTAAAGGTCCAAAATCTCCATAGAAACTGGGAAAAAGAGAACAGAAAAAGTGTTATTTACACAAAAGAGTTAAGCAAATTTCAACATGCATGTTGGTGATAGTTCAAGCTGCAAATCAGTAACTTGTGGGGGATACCAAGTAGCCAACATATATGGTGCAACAGATAAGCCCTTTGATTTATTTAAGGGGACAACAGTAACAATTAATTTGAAAGCACCTGTAGTTTTAGTTTAAGATGCTCCAGTAACTACCTTTTCCATTATATACACACACACTAACTACAGATTTTTTTTTCCTTCATCCCATGATATCCAGTCTGGTTTGGGCCAAAACTACAGAGTTAAGAACTTCAAGACATGATCTACTACCCTTCTAGCCATGATGATGTCATCCTAGATAGAGGTTCTACAACTGCGTAAGATGAGAATATATCATTAGATAGTATGAAGAATAAGCTAAATAAAATTTCTCATGGGTAGTAAAATTTAATCATGTCCAGTCTTGATCTGACTGAAATTTAAGCTTATTTCTTTTTATCCTGTCCTCCGCTATTCCAGAGAGTACATATTACATATACACTTTACATATAATTACATTCCCCTTTGTCCCCCACAACCCTCTGTCTCTAGGCTGTGCTTCCAATTTATTACTTATTTCATGTCTTCTGATGGTTCTTGATTCATGCTTCTAGATTCTTCTTAAACATTCATATTACCTTTGAAGCAGCAATTACTTTCCTTAGGATAAGAGCTAGTAGCAGTAGTCTGTACAGGAAAGTTATTGCACAATAAAGGCAAGTTCCTGGTAGGATTCACAGCGCTCTTCCTAGCTAACCCTTCATATAGGCACCTTTATAAGCAATAGCAGCCTTTATGCAAGCAACATAGTGACACCTTTTAGAGCTCTCTTCCTCCCCACCCATTGTGCAAAATTGATCAAAATATAAACTGCAAGCTTTCTCCACTATTTTTCCTTTTGTGTATAGAGGTCTTTATCCTGACAGTCTATGAAAATCTGTTGATGCACATGTTACAAATTACAGTGATACGGACCATAGCTTAAACTGTTTTAATCTGCTCTGCCTTAAGTCTTTTGACAAAAGAAACAGGACACTTCTTGCCTATTGACAAACAAAGCCATCCATCAGCATCTGAATGCATGTTATTTGGGCATGACAAAAGACAAAGGTAACTACGCTCTATGACTTCTTGTCTTTGAAGTAGTGAAAGCTTACTGAAATCACATGATAGAATAGGTGGTAGTACCTTTCAAGCTGTCTTCCCTGTGGCAGAAGGTTTATTTTTCAGGAAAATTAATTGTGTTCCAGTTAAACATAAGAAGAAAAACTTTTACTCTGAGAGCAGTCAAACATTAGAAAGAGGCTGCTCAGTGAGGCTGTGGAGTCACAACCCAATTGTACAAGGCCGAGCAACCTACTCTTGTTGACCTTGCCTTAAGCCCAGGGGTTGGATTAGACTATCTATGGAGGTGCCTTCCAGCTTCAGCCGTTGTGCCATTCTAAATGGACACAACAACAAGGGAGGACTGCTTGATCTTTTTCGTGCTTGTAACTTTATTAATATTCTCCTCCCCACATTCTCTCTAACAAAAAAGCCAAGCCCAGGGCAAAAAATTTGTTAGATTAGGCTAATTACATTAGTCTGATCTAGGACAGTGTCTGCCACACCAATGCTATTTCAGTATCACCTACTTTGCAGTATCAGATAACAACATAAGTGTTTGCTAAGATTCAGTTCAACCCTTCAGTAAAAAATATTATGGCATAATGCTTAATTAAAGAAGCTTATTAGCTAGGTAAAAGACTAAGCTTTCCAACTCTGACTTTATTTGTAGGTTGCACAAAAGTTAACTAACTCAAAATTGCAGTGGCAGTAAAACAGGGTTTAACTTTAGAATTCCTCATCTTTTCTTAGGTAAGTCTGCCAGATATGGTCAACAGATAGTTATTTTTAAAACAAAACCCTCCATACAATTTTTAATAGAGATGAAATGAAAAAATTTCTTCTAAAAAGGACAATTATGAGTTATGACAAATAGGAAGTTATAACTGGAGCTCTAACAGAGTAAATGTAACTTCTAGAAAAGCTATATAGAAGGCTTACTAACATCTCTTCCCATTCCGCTACACTAACATCTCAATCAAAAACCCAACCCTATCTTGTTCCATGAACTTTAGAGTATTCTTCCACTTAAATATGATGGAAGAATAGAATTTACAGTTTTCAGATTATTTTTCAAAAAATACTTTTTGAAGTATTGTG